CGCCTCGCCCCCTCGTCCGGCCTAGCACCTTCCTGCTGGACTCGAAGGCCCCGCCCCTCCCCTCTGTGGGCCCCGCCCCCGCAGAGGGTCTCTACTGAGGCCCCGCCCACGTGGCCCCGCCCCCAGGCCTCGCTGTCGCCGCGGACGCCGTTCTCGGGCTCCGAGTCGCCATTTTGCTCCTGGACAGGCCGCCTGGTGACCGGCGCTCTCCTCCTTCGGCAGCGGAAGCTGCGGCGGGGCCGGGGCTGGGGTCGGGGCCAGGTAGGCGGGCGGGTGCCGGCGACGGTGGTGGCGCGGCCGGCGGGCCGGGCCTGTGAGGCGCAGGTACAGGGGCGGGGGGCTCGGTGGGGGCCGGCCGCGTGCCGCCCTCAGCGCGGTCCGGTCTGTCGGGGTCCGCTGGCCTGGCGCGAGGCCGGTCCGCCTGGTCTGGGACCTGCGGCCGCGGGCGGAAGCGCGGTACCGGGCCGGCCTCTGTTGCCCGGAAAGATGCTTTCTTCCTCGGCCGGCCCTCAGAGCCCGAGGGCGGCGGGGATGTGGCTGCGAGGCAGGCTTCTGCTCTTCAGGGCCCCTCACCCCCACCCCGACTGCACAGTGATGGTGCGGATTTTTCCCCGTTTTATAGACACTGCCGCGGTTTGGGTGTGTTGCTTTTGCAAGGAGTAGGAAATTAGGGATGGAGATTTGGAGTGAGAAAGTGTGATTTCTCATGTGTGAAGATGTTCCGTACACAAGTATAAGTGATTCGCCCACATTATTGAACCCCACAAAATCCTGCCCGTCTCCTCCCTATTCCTGTCCCGACTTGGTCCCTTGCTCTTATCACCCAGTTCCGCTCTGTACCCGCTTAACATAAGCACTTTCACACAGTCTGGGATATTTACTGGGATATTTTTTATTATGTTGAATGTATATTCAGAGTTTTACTTAATTACCCCTATTATGTAACTTCTCCATATGTTCATGGTCATCCTTTTAGAAAAACCATGCAGTGGCCATCATTGAGCTTTTTCCTTCTTTCCCTACAATAAATTCTCCAAAGGGGAAATACCGAGTCATGTGTTCTTTCTTTGGCACGTGATATAAATTGTTCTCCAAACGAGGTGTGTTTACTACAGACGTTTTTATAACCTGGTGTTTGTCAGGTCCTCCCCCCCTGTAATGCGGGGTGTTTGGTCACCCTCCTTGGTTTTGGGAGACAAGCTGAAGCTGACCTGGTGTCTGCTGCTTCCAGGAGGGCCACCTGGAGGAAGTGTCTTCATCTCCAAGCCTCACCCTGCCCCCAGCACTGTGTATGAAAGGGATCGACTTGTAGTGTAATACCTGCTTTACTGAGTTGTCATAAGAATTCAGAGCACTCAGAAAATGGTATTTAGCTGAAAGAAAACATTCTGATGGAGACAGCAGAGTGCCTGGGATCCCAGAGGCATGGGGGCTTAATTACATCTAGGCTTTACCCTTCTAATTCTCTTAGAATTCACATCCCCAAAATGTGAACATCAGAATAAAAATAATAATTCTTTATGGCACCTTTGAGCTTGCAAACTACTTTCAACTCTATGTGTTAGTTAGTGCAGCTTAATGAGGTCAGGCTTTATTCGACCAACATATGTTATCTGACAGACGTGTACTGAGCCTCTCCCTCTGCCAGGTGCTGTTCTAGGCCCTGGGTACACAGCAGAGAAAAGCATAGTGGAAAAAAGCCTCTGCTGTCCTGAGCGTTAAATTCTGCTGGGGAAGCTGTTTTTAGCAGACTTCTATCTCTTGTCCAGAGGGGAAAGCCAAGAATGGGTAGCTGGTAACTGGGGAGACAAATTGGCTCTTCACACTTCAACTCCAGCTGTCTTCAGATGGAGGGTGTTTACACACCTTGATGCCAGCCTTTCTCGTCTGAGGTGTGGATGAGTTTTTTTACGATGACTGCTAGCACTTACAGAGCAAGTGGTCTTTCAGTGAGGTTTGGTTCATGAGACTTAGCAGATTGCCCCGTCTCATTCAAAGAGAAGTATGACCCACTTTGTGTGAAGTGCTGAGATTCTGTGGAAAGGGCGTGTTTTCATGTGTTATATATAATTCTCACACATTCCAGAGTTAATTTAGGATAAATGTAAGGGCGAATGAAGTTTATGGGGCAAGAAATGGGAATGTTGTCTTTACACTCTGTTCACCCTCAAGCCTTGTGCTAATGAACTTTCTGCCCTCCCATCCCAGTGATTATCTTGCTTCTGAGGATTTTCTTTAAAACTCTTCCTGAAGCTTGGGAAAGAACACAATTTGAGTTTACAATAGGAAAAGGAGAACTGAAACTAGCAGCTAGTTCTGTTGTTTGACAAGCTCTTGAGATGGACAGTCGCAGAACATGGCTGTACTGATACCTGTTCCCAAACAATCTCTCTGCCTGTGGCATGTTGGGGTCTTAGGTTTTGACTATTGAAACCTGCTGCCTGGACTGGAACCCTAGAGAGCATGGGCAGTGATGAAGGACTTAACCATGATCAGTAATGCCAGGCCCAGGCCAAGAGCGCCATCTTGAGATAGGCTGAGGACTGCCGAGGGGAGAAGGAATTTGAGGTTTCCCATAAATCTTCAAGGAAAGGACAAGGCCCAGAGGTGGCAGCTGCCAGGAAAGTAATCATTGTGTATTCTGAGGAAGGATTTGGAATGGCTTGGATATCCCTCAAGGCGTGGACATTGGGTCCGGACTGTTCAGGTGTCTGGAGTGGCTCATTGGTAGGAGTCCTAGAGATGGACTGAGTTACTTCTGAGGACTCTTCCTTCCCTTCAGACACTGATTCTCAGTGTTAGATGTTCACTCAAGAACACCGTTTTCCTTTAAGAAGCTTCTTATTTGAAGACTGGGGGATGTAAAAAGGTTGCCACCCCTATGCATATTACGTGCTTGTTCAGTAGATAGGGAACATATTACAAGCTGACTCCTCGTAGCTTCAATTTACCAAGGGTATCCTGTATGTGGGGCAGTGTGTTAAGTGCTGTACAGGAGCTAATCTTACAGTGACCCTGTAAGGTCAGTATTCACAGTGGCATGGATAGGGTGAGAGAGGTTAGTTTATGTGAGATCTTGCAGTAAGTTGAGGGCAAATAGGAGCTAAGATGCAAACCTGGGTTGACTCTAAAGCTTGTGTTCATAACTACAGGAGAATAAGCTGTATTTTGTTTAGGAACAGACCTCTGTTCCTAAACACAGCCATAGAGGGGTTGAGAGGTGGTGTTAGAAGACAACCAGGATCTCCTCCAATTCTGAGGGTTGAGGGTTAAATATTATTCTTTCTTTCACTTGCACCCGCCCCCCTGCCCAGACGCTATGCTGTAAAGCTGGGTCAGCATGCATTTTCTGTAGGGGGCCAGGTAATATTTTAGGTTTTGTAGCCCACACCTAACTCTACCATTGCATCCATAGACAGTTTGTAAATAGTGAGCTTGGCTGTGTTCCAGTATAGTTTTATTTACAGAAATAACCTGTTTTGGCCTGCATGTACCTTGCACATCCCTGCTCCAAAGCCACTTTCCGGTATACACACCAGTGGTCCTTCTTGGTCTCCTTAGGGCTTTGGCCAGTTGTTCATATGTTTCTGTTTGTAATTAATAGGCCAAGTCCAGTGGGATGGCCCATGTTTCCCATTGTGAAAGGCCTCTGAAGAAGTGTTTTCTCCTAGCCTGCTTGTGGGACCATGAGTCACCCACCCGTGCCCCCTTGGCTCCCCCTGGCAGTTGCTACAGAGGAAGATGCGTGCACAGGGAGGCCTGTTTGGGTTGGTGACGTGGCTGCACCAGGGAGCCCTGGCAACGGTTAAAAAGTGCACAGTGGGTCTCTCCCTTCTGCTTGGGTTCTCAAATATATTGTTTCAAAATAAAGCAGATTAGAGATAGATTTGTATGATGGTCCCTTTTTATGTTACAAATGAATTTTTATACATTTTTTTAAAAGTGGGGATCACATGTGTGAATGTGGAAACAGCCCGATGGTATCTGTATCAAACCAGTAATAAGAACTGTCTCTTCCAGGGAGGTAGGTGGGAGGAGCCTGGGATCGGATCAGAGCTGGTGACGTTAGTCTAAACTCTCATGTTTCAGTTTTTTACAAGAACGTACTTGTGTAATTAAAATTTAAGAATAATAAGTAAGATATGGGCTCCAGGCTTTTGCTCCCTCCACCAGCCTTCCAAGAGCCAGCCGCATAAACATAACGGCTGCGTTAATGTGGCCGGCTTGCTTGGAAGACTCCTCCATCCCCCCAGGCCTCCTGGACTGCTGATCCTGCACCCAGTCCTCTGCCTGCCTTTCTCCATCAGGATACTCGCCCCAGAGTGGAAGGAGGAGGAACATGTGGATGATTCTGAAGGCCTCTAGGCCAGGGTCTTTCTGTGTGCCTTGCTGCTGGTCAGTTATGTGGCTGAGTCACTTTCCTTCAAGATTATTGTAATCTGCTCAACCTTGTGTTCCAGTTGAGGAAAGTGCCGATGACCTGGTCAGGCTTAGACAGGACCCAGGAGAGCTGCAAGGCCGAGGAGGGGGTTTGTGGTAAACAGGTATTACAGGGAAAGCTGGGTGTGGATGGGTTATTTATTCATTGTTTAAGGATCAGTCAGTTCTTGTCCTTGCTAATGGCTCTGCCATTTTTCTGTGTGTTAATCCAGGAGGAATTTTGTTGTCAGAAACTAAAAGGAGGTTGTCGTAATTGACTTTAAGCAGCAAACAGTAAAACACTGAGCTCTTCAGCTCCACCTTTCTTGTAAGTTTATCATTTATTCCCAGTAGTCAAGAAAATAATTGAGTCGTGTGATGACATCTTTCCATAAATTCAAATAGACTCCCTATTGTCCATATACCCGTTCAATGTGAAAGACTCTATTATGGTAAAAACTAATTTCCTTCAGCTCATTTGCTGTTCAAAAATATTCAGGTGTATTTCATCTCATTTGACAGTTTTTAACATATTTGGTATCTTTCTAGGCGCTGAGAATTGGAAAACCAAGAAGGTTTTGATGTTTTGTGTGGCGCCACCTGAATCAGAAGCCAAGATGAACATAACCAAAGGGGGTCTGGTGTTGTTTTCAGCAAATTCAAATTCATCGTGTATGGAGCTTTCAAAGAAGATCGCTGAGTGAGTATAATCACACTGTTAAAGTCTGTGCTTGTTCATTGGTGGTTTATGTTTGATATTCATATTGGCGCTGGTGTTAACTTTGACAGCAAATATTTTACAGTGAATCTGCATGTCATCCGTCCTACACATGGATTCAGGAGACATTTACCAGGGACTCCTGAGTGCCAGTGATGGTGTGAGCTGCTACATTTGTATAGAGCTATTTGAGTACAGAGAACAATGAAAGTGTCTATGCTATATGAAGGTAGTTCACAGGTTACAGTTCAGTATAATTTCAGTAACTTATTAAGTAACTACTGAACCCCTCCTGTGTACTATACTTTGATCTAGATACTGGGGTAAAACAGTGAACAAGCCGGTCAGAATCCTTCCTTCTTTAGTGGAGGCGCCAGTCAAGGAGGAAGTCAATAGACACACAAACAGGGAAACTTCAGGCAGTGATCTGCACAGGAAAATCAGACAGGGCAGGTCCTGCCGCCTTAGCTCAGGCGCTCAAGTGCCTGTAAACCTGTGGGTGGAATGTGAATTGAGAAACAGGAAATGGCAGCAAGTGGGAGTTGGGGCAGAGCCCTCCAGGCAGAAAGGGGACAGCAGGAATGTGACTGGAGCGCAGGGAGCCCCAGGACTGGGTAGGTATAGGGTGGAGGTGCGATGGGCTAGGTGACCAAACAATTTGAGATCCACCTTAAATTTTATAATAGCAATATCTCTGTTTTTAAAATTTGTTTTATTTTCATCAATCTCTAAATCATCTTAAAAGTAAAGATGTTGTATCTGTTTTATTACTGTTTCCGCTTTTTCCCTCTTTCTCTTCTCTAGGCGGCTGGGGGTGGAGATGGGCAAGGTGCAGGTTTATCAGGAGCCTGACCGAGGTGAGTGATCCTGTGCCCTTGTGATGGCTTTTTTGTGGTACCTGCCATTCCAGCCCGGCCCTCACCCTCTGTGACTGAGCAGTCAGCCTCAGTGTCCAGTGAGTTCTGTCTGCAGGAAGGCAGACAGGGGTGGGCCATCATGGTGTTCCCACCCCAACTAATACCAGCTACATAGAGAATCTGGGGCCGGTCACAGCTGGGGACTTAGAAGCTCATCCTCAGACCTCACCCGAAGGCAGTTGCTGTCAGCTGACGGAAGCATGAGCTTGGCCTGGGTTGAATCTGTCCCCTGAGGCAGAGTGCATGTGTCTGGTGTGGCCCTGGTGTCAGGTAGCATTTTCAAAGTGTGTTAATCACAGTGTGTTCATTATCCTCCATGGAATCTAAAGCCTTGTAGTGAGTTTGTAACAGTTCCAGTTTCCATAGTTTATAACCTTGGGAAATGGTGCATATTTTCTTGTGGGTTTTTTTAAAATGATGTGCCTTGTTCACCCTTCTTCTCATTTCCCCTTTTCCTGCCAGAAACAAGAGTACAAATTCAAGAATCTGTGAGGGGAAAAGATGTTTTCATCATTCAGACTGTTTCAAAGTGAGTAGCTTATCCACCAGAAATGTTGTTGCTTTCTGGGTCTCTGTTTGGGCTTGAATGTCTAGTATAATAAGAGTTACCCAGACAAGAAGAGCTAAGATTGTTTTAAAACTAACCTGATCTTACTCAACTGATCTTTCTGACATAGCTGCCGACTTTCTTGTGTCCTTTCTGTGTGGGAATAGCTGAACACTGGGGGAGAGGCATGGGACAGTGAGCACCTGTGACGTTCACTGTCAGGAGCCAGAGTCTCATAGAGCTTATAGGGAACCTCTACTAGTTCCCAAAGAGAACAAGCAGCAGGAGAGGTGTTCACTTAGTTGGGGTTCTTAAAGCTTTTCCTGCAGGTAATTTAAACGTGATCACTATGTGCTGTCCTGCCACGTAAGTTAAAGGAGAAGAGAGACGGTAGTGAAGGCAGGTATGTCTCTGTCTGCCGTGACGTCTGCGAGCTGTGTGTTCTAGAGATTGTCGAGTCACAGGCGTGTGCACTGGGGTAGAAGATTCAGTGCGGTGAGGTGTCTGCACCACTCCTTTATCAAACGCCACTCTGTCTACACATGTCCCTGAAGGCTCTTAGATGAAAATTTTAACTCAGCAGTTTTTAATAATGTCTAGAAATGAGTTTGTATAGTACATCAGTTTTTAGCCTAGAGATTCCAAAAATTGCTGCATGCTAAATGTACATTTATATGTAAAATAAGTGCCTCTTTTTACTAAAAGTTTAAGAAAATGTTTAAGTGAAGAAAATTATGTCCATTGACTTAAGTTTTCTGTAATCCAGAGAACCTGCTCACCCGAAAGCTCCAGGCTTCCCATTGCTCTTTCATGCACTCACTTATTCACAAATATGTGTCAGGTGTGCAAGAGGCATGAAAGATTAGAATAGATCACAGATCCTGATCTTCATGGAACCTGTGTTCTGTGACATGCAAGTGACATAATGAACAAGTAGATTATCCAGTTTGTCAGGAGGTGACAAGGTCTGTGGGGAAAACCAGCACAGTGTGCACGGAAACTGGCGTGATGGTGGCAGGAGGCTGGAGTGAGGGTGGATCGGTGGGTGACCTCTGACAAACACTGGAAGCCGGTGCCAGCTGGCGAGGAGGTCATTCCAGGCAGGAACGGGGGGCCCTGGATGGAGGGCCCTCAGGTGGCGTGAGGACTGGCATGGAGGGGGCATGGAGGAGGAGTAGGGTGCAGAGAGGGAGCAGGGCGGATCCAGAAGGGGCCTCAGGAACCCGGTGGGGCCTCGGGCGTCTGCCACGGGCTGAGTGGGAAACCATCCCTGGGTTCTGGGCAGAGAGTCTGTGGTCTGACCGTGACTCTAAGATCAGCCAGGTGCTATGCAGAGAGTGGCTGCAGACAGACTTCCAGGCACAGGGGGAGGGAGCGGGGAGCGTGTGGGTGCAGCTATTGCCATCCCTTGGGGAGGTGGGCCTCGGCCCGGGCAGCACTGGAGTGTGAGATGCTGCCTGTGTCTGGACAGGAGGGCAGCTAAGTATGCCTCTAGGGCTCTGTCCTGAGTAAACTGGAGTGAACAGTTCTGTTCTTGGTGGGAAAGGAAGTAGAGTCATTGGCTGAGAGGCAGCGTGGGGGCTACTGATGGAGGCCTGAGAAGAGTGGTGTTTGTCTCTTCTGTGTGTCTGGAGCCTGTCTTGGCTGAGGCGGGCATGGCATCTTGCTGATGTTTAGCTGGGACTGAGAGAGGTCGTGGCAAGTCTGACACCCTCCCTGCTGGTCTTTGCCCTTGGGTTGCAGGGACGTGAATACCACCATCATGGAGCTCCTGATCATGGTGTATGCCTGTAAGACCTCCTGTGCCAAGAGCATCATCGGCGTGGTCCCCTACTTCCCCTACAGCAAGCAGTGCAAGATGAGAAAGAGGGGCTCCATCGTTTCCAAGCTGCTAGCCTCCATGATGTGCAAAGCTGGTGAGGGGCCGGCGTTGATGGTTGATGGGGGTCTGGGAGTTGCATTTTTACCTGAGGAATCGTAAAGCCTCATCTTCACTGACTCAGAGTATTGGACAGAGTGCCCAGAGTGATGTAGCTTCCAGATGGTGAATCTGTAGCAGACGCCCATGCTGACAGTTTGCTCCTGGTCCAAACTCTCTGAACACAAAGCTCATGAGGACAACTTATTTTTTCCTAAAGTCTTTGTTTAAAAGATTAAAAAGTTGAAATGGCAGGTGGCAGTCCTATTGAGGCCGTTTTTAAAGTAGAAAAGGCATTGGAATCAGCTACTCTAACACAGCAACTCTCTTTATTTTCACCTCTTCTCTTTCCCAGGACAGCTTGGCATATTTTGCAAGCCCTATGTGTTATTTTGTGTTGTGCATTTTTCAGTAACATCCTAAGTGTCTCCCCTTGTTTCTAAATAATTTCAGAGTTGTCACTCTGTGTGTGTGTGTGCACACGCACACAAATGTGTACTTGTGTATGTGACCATAGAAGGCACACATCACAGAGTTGCACAGATAGAAAAGAATAAAAAGTCCCCATATCACTACCTTTTAACACACTTAATGCAGAATAAATTTCTCCTGTAGCATTTCAAAGAAGACAAAACCAAAACAGAAAATGACCAGACCTGAACCCCAGTGACCTCCAGGCACACCCTGTTGAGAACTTTGCTGAAGGGAGCAGATGGGCCACTGAGCTCCCGAGAAGGTCCCCTGCCCTCCTAGTCTTGCTCGTGATGGGCTACCAGGCTTTCTTGCTCTTTTGGGCATATTTTGCTTTTTAAAATTTTTCCAATTGAATTATATGTATGTATGTGTATGTAAGTATTTCCATTTCAAATATCCTTCAAGGAGCCAATGGGATGAAGATTCTTCATTTTTCCCAGTTACAGGCATGTGAGGTTTACCTTAATAACTGAAGACGTTATGTCTTAATCTGGCTTTATCACACCTGTTGACACAACTTCAGGGAGAGGGAATCTCTCTCATAGAATTATCAGAGGCGTTTCTTCATCGTTGTGATTTTGGCTGTTTTAAATTGGTGTGAAAACCGTGCATCTCTCTGTAAGAATAATCATCAGTCTTTCCCTTCTGAGGAGGGAAAGCCCAGGTTCCCACCTGCTTAGGAGAGGGGCCATCCCCATGTTCACCACCCAGATACTCCCCAGAGCCCTTGCTCTTGGGGCTTCAGGGCGTGGTCATTCATCAACTCTATGTCCAGTCCCTCCCCCTCTCTGGACAGTAGGGGCAGGGAGCCTGGTAATGACAAGCTTCCCCTCAAGGTGACCAGCCACATCCAGGAGCCCGTCTCCAGAGCTTTCAGGAGCTTTGTGTCAGAGACAGGGTCACAGACCAGATGTGACAACAAGAGATGCTCCCGGTGCTCTTAGCACTGAGGGAGTGACAAGGGGTTAGGAGTTCTGTCCTGGGGGCAGAGACCAGCATTTATATTTTCTATTATCTCATAATCTCATTGTACTAAGAATCTGAGGAATAAAAATGCTGAGTTTTTGATAAGAGTAATTTTAGATAGTAATTTATTCCATATAGTGTGTTGTTTTATGTAGTGCTTATTCATACAGTGCAACTGGTCATGAAACAACCTTTGTGTGTGTGTCTGCTTTGTTTTCAAAGGTCTGACTCACCTCATTACTATGGATTTACACCAGAAGGAAATCCAGGGCTTCTTCAATATTCCTGTTGACAACTTGAGAGCATCTCCCTTCCTCTTACAGTACATTCAGGAGGAGGTGAGTTAGCTCAGACTTCTCAACCTTCTATTTAAGGCTGAAACATGCATCTCTATCTCCTTGGGCTCGATGAAGGGTTAACATTGACGTGTTCTGCTTAAAGTTGACTTTATGAATGTAACTGGTATACTTGAAACTCTTCATCTGCGGAGCTCTGAAAGTTGCTCTTTTTCCTCTTGGACCTCAGGTGCCTCGAATCACCAGCCTGGGCTGGACCCTCTGCAGGGCACTCCCTAGCTCCAGCCTGGGGTCTGTCCTGAATCCTGAATCCTCTTAGTGCCTTCTGAGTTTACCTTCTCTCCCTCTACAATATACACATAGTTGTAGATACTGATTTGTATGGGGGGAAAAAAAAAGGAGTTGATATATTGTTTGTGTTGTTCTGAAACTTCTTTCCTTTCCTGTTGTTATGTAACTTTCTTTTTTTTTTTTTTTTCATTTTCAAAATAGAATTTATTTCTGTAATAAAGAATTAAAATATGGCTGTGAAAGTAGAAAATAATATAGAAAAATATTTAAAATGTGCAACAGTAATTCCGAGTAAAGATAGTTAAGCACTAGAATTTATGCTCAACTTCTATTTGAAAGCCCAATCATACATATTAACTATACCAGAAAAAAACATACCAACTTGCAATTTTAATTATTGTTCAAAAACAGCTTTATGTACCTGTTCAGGCCCTTTTAAGTACAAATCTTGGGGTATACATTTTGAAGCTGGCTTTACTTCAGACTGACTGATAAATTTACTGCCCCACAAATAACAAGGTTTTTGTTTTTTTTTTTTTTTTTACTAATTTATCCATGGATTAAGTCAATGTGCAGGAAATATGTACTTTTTGGATGGAACCAAATGTTTTGGTAGAATAGGACAAGAGTATAATTTTTCATTATATTGGTATAAATGCTGGTAAACCCATATAACCCCAGAGCATGGTTTCCACCAGGCGGGTCTCAATTCAGATGCTAAATGCACATGAAGGACTATCTAAATGAATTCTATCCACCCTTTCCCCAAAGTTTCACTTAGAGTTAAGATACAGATATTATTTGTATGAAGAATATACAGAAGAATTGGAAAATGTTTGGCTAGAGGGAAGACAACTCTTCAGGGACTACTGTTTGCAGTTTGCAGAATAGATAATCTTCTCTAGGAAGAATAATGTCCACATAGCAGCACTATATTCACCAGGAATCCCAGAACCAGTGGATCTATCATGTGACAGGAAGCCAAACCTTCTGGCTGCTCACAACATCACTCAGTTTCCCCTTGATCTTCAGGAAGTGTCTCTTGAATTCCAATCCATCACCCTTAGAAAGCCGGAAGTCAACTAAGATCTTCTCATCCATTTCTACCAGATTCACTTTGAAAATCAGCTTATTGTTTCTTCTATCAGTTGTTGATACAGTAACCTGATTCATACAACTTTTCTTCCACTGATAGCCCAATTTCTCACAAGTCTCTTTCAGGCATTGATAAGATTTGTCTGCATACAATTTGGTAAAAAATCGCGTCATTCTTTTGACTAAGCTCTGCCAGGGGTTCTGTGAGGATCCTGGAGTGCCAAGCAACTGACTGTTTAGAAGCATGTGATCAGGACAAGTGGGCTGGGTAAAGCTGATCCCTTGTACCAGTTTGTCAATGTATGAAGGGCTGGTGTCCCATAAGGAAAGGCCTGTCAGTGGTTCTGGCTGAGAACTGGAGTACTTCACACTTTCTTCACTAGAAGCACAGTTTACTGGAGAGGAGTCCAAGTTGGATTGAATATGTTTAGAGAATCCACCAGGAGACTCTGATACACCACTAGAAGTAGCCCGGGGCCTCTTTGCCCCTTTCTTGAGTGGTTTGTTGTACCATCTATCTTTCTTGATGTCTGGGATGGTAATCCTTACCGATGGGTTCTCAACTAAGATTTTATGTAGCAGAGCTAGAGGAGCAGAATCAATTTTTTTCCAAGGGTTGAGGTATGTTTTCTTTTCTTTCCAATCATAATATTCCTGACAACTATCACTAGGCTGGTCCCACGGCAATTCTCCAGCCAACATTGCAGTAAGTACTATTCCACAGGACCAAACATCTACTGGCTCTGCATGAAATTCTTTTCTCTTTAGAAGTTCTGGAGCAACATATGGTAAAGTACCACACATCTTGTTCAACAAACGCTCCCGATTATTATGCCGAAACACGGTTGCCAAGCCAAAGTCAGAGATTTTGAGGTTATCCCTTTCATCCAATAGGAGATTTTCTGGTTTAATATCCCTGTGAGTTATTCCAATACCATGCAGATAAACCACCCCTGCCATAAGTTGATGGAAGAACCTCTGAGCATCTTGTTCAGGCATGCCTATGTCTGGCTCTATTCTATCAAAAAGTTCTCCCCCACTACAGTACTCCAAAAATAGATACTGGATATTGCCTTCTCTTCTGTGACCGTAAAATTTCACTACATTCTCATGATTTAACATTTTGTTGATACAGATCTCTTTCTTAATATTTTCTGGACAGTCTATGGCATGTTTCATATCCACAATCTTCACTGCAACTGCTTCTTCAGTTCTTCTATTCACAGCAAGTTGAACTTCTCTATAGGCACCTTCTCCCAGGGTTTGTACCAAGTCCCAGTCTTCCACAAAGGGCACTGCCATGACTCCACTAAGTCCCGCGGCAGGCTGTCCTTTGCCCGCCACCACAGGAATCCAAATCGTAACTTTCTTTCCTTTCCTGAAATAGTGTCTGGTGGTCTTTCCATGTTCAGATATATAGGATTACCTCTTTCTTCATGATTGTTACACAGTATTCTAAAGTTCAGACCAACTGTAATGGATATTACTTTCTATGCCAGTGAAAATGTTTACTCTGCCTTCAGAATGGCAGCTGAACTGCCCAGTGTGACTAGAGAATGGAATCCTTGATTTCATTTGAGTTTAGTTAATTTAAATGTAAGTAGCTGCCTGTTTAGGTGTTAAAGCACAAGTTTAAAAGAGCCACAGGTATTTCATCCATTTCCCTCTTGGCTGGATATTAGGTGGTTTAATTTTTCATTTTTTTGGGGGGGGGTACCAAATTTTTCATTCTTTTAAGTGAAATATTTTATTTTCAAAAAATTTTTAAATAATGTTGCACTGAAAATTCTTTTTTCAGTACTCAAAGTACTTCAGTACTAAAAGCAGTACCTGCTTTTCTCAGTACTTAAACAAATGCTCTTCTGAGATATACTAGGAAGTGAAATCGTGATTGAAAAGTGTCTACATTTTTAATATTTTACTAAATACTGCAAAAATTAAGATTGTCTGAAGGGCTGTATTAATCTGCACTTGAACAGAACTCCCCGTGTGAAATAGTACTTTATCTTTTTGCTGTGGTTTTGACATCTCTGCATGGCATGTCCATGGACATCTATGACCCATGAACCAGCATCCAGTGAGATGAACCATCTTCATCCATCTCACTGGATGCTCAGTGGGGCCTTTGCATTCCCTACGAATTTTGTTTTCTGTAATTTGGATTTTTCATTTCTTTCTTCAGGAGCTATTAGATATTGAAAATCTTGTATCTAGTCTATATATTATTTAACTGTTTTTTGTTCAAGTTTTGCTTTTTCCTGTACCGAATTGGTGGGTAAATTCCATGGCTTGCTCTTGCTGACATTTTCTTACAGCCGTGTCCATCCTGCCCCTGAACCAGCCAGCTGCTGACCTTCTTACTTTGACCATAATAAACTCCACCTTCATAACAACTTGTTCTTTCTTTATGCACATGATTTCCTGTTTTGAGTCCCAAGGAGAAAGTAGACCTGTTTTTATTAAAAAGTCCTTTCTTTTAAAGTTTCCTTTTCTTTGCTTTAGTAACTGTTCCTTCATTAGTTATTTCTCCTCTGGGTTGGGTTTGATGCTGTTTGATGATGTTCGATGAGGCATGGAAGTACATAAAACAGTTCATAAAGACTCCCAGGAAAGATGAAGAACATGCAAAAATGAAAATATTTTGTGCTATTTATGTGTATAGATAGACCAAATGGAGAGACATCTTATCCAAGTAGGTATATCTATAATAGAACCTTCTTCAAATTCATCAGGGTTTTGTTTGTTTACTGAGTATTGATTATTTAGTTTTTTCCACATGCTAGGCATTGTGTAATATTCTAGATGGTGGTGAGTGCTTATGTTCCAGTTCACCAATCTAGCATAATTGTGAGAAATCAATGGGGACATATCTGAATGGAATAACATAATTTAATGAAGTGATTAGATTTTAAGTACATGATTTGAAAATATTGCCCAGATGAAATCAGAAACAGCAAACTACTGCTTAGCTGAAAAGCATTGCTAGTTCTGTCCTGTGAGCTCTGAGGAGTTGGTACTGGATGTCTCTTCAGTTGTTGTCATCTTCATCCAGATCACTCAGGTGCTCAAAGTGAAAGGCTTCAATGTAGACCGACATTTGCTTGTTTTCTTAAGGGCTCTTAGTATCTTTGTAAAGAGTGCTGGGCTGATTCTGTTAGCAGTTTGGTTTCTTTCTTCATCAGCTGTGACAGTTACATTAAGTAGTCACTTGTTTAGAAGTTGACAAATGCCTTTGATTCAGGTACAGTGAATATCATCCTTGGGCTGTGAAATTACATGTAACAGGGGTCCATGAGAGGACTTCCTGTTGACTATAAAAACATCTTTGCTGCCACTTAGATATGAGCTTATTACTGATTAACTCTACTTTTTTCTTAAAATAAGTCTATGAGATTCATGCCTTGATAATTTTTTTTCTTAGGTAAGCATTTTTTCATTTTTCAAAGAGGAAATTTACTTTGAGTTTTCTCTCTTTTTGGAAAATGTTCACGTGACCAGCTGACATTTCTGAGTGTGTTGGGGTATTGCTTTTTATTGACTGTGGAGCTGGTGTGAGCAGCCTTTTGAGATATGGCAGTCACCCAGCCCCTCCTCTTCTCAGATCCCAGACTACAGGAATGCAGTCATCGTGGCCAAGTCTCCGGCCTCAGCCAAGAGGTAGGTGGGCGCTCGCAGCTGCTGTGCAAAGCCACACCTGAGTCCAGCCCATTGAATTCCAGTGTTCTAGGTCCCATTGCAGCAGCTCCCACTCTGGCCCTTGCTTTTTGACCTGGGGACTGACAGTGCACAGCCTGTCTGCCGATTTCATTTATTAGGTGATGATTCATCATCCTCCCTTGTCCCAGTCCCTGTCTGTGACTGCTGGTCACATTTCCTACCAGAAACCGTCCAGGACTGTAGAGTCCTAGCCCTGCACTTGGGTAGCTGCTGGTGGTTCATCTTCACATCTGTGATTTAAAATACCAGCAGGGCGGAGGGGGGGGGGGGGGGAATACCAGCGAATATATTTTGAGGTTGTTTACTGCCTTTTATTCAGAGAACTCAGTAATTTATTAACAGATAATTCTATCCAGCCAAGAAGCCACTGATTGGTATGTGTTAAAAAGTGACATTTTAAAAAACTTTCAGACACTGCAGTTGTGCAAATGGGGCAGTGCTGAGAGTTCCATGTAACTGGAGTAACTGATAAGACAGGGGTACAGAACCTGTAGTTGTGTTTGACTGAAAGGGTGTCAGACAGAGACATGCTGTGGGGGTGGTGTGGGTTCCAGAAAACAGTGTCTCAGTAAAGTGAGTCACATGGACGTTTGGTCTCCCAGTGCATATAAAGTTACGTTTACACTACACCACAGTCTATTCAGTGTGCAGTAGTGTTATGTGCTACAAACATTGTACATCCCTTCATCTAAAAATACTTTATTACTAAAAAATGCTCCCCGTCATCTGAGCCTTCATACTCTGCTGAGTAGTTAGCATGCTTTGTCTCATGTGTTGGTTCTCACTGTTAACCAGGTGAGCAGGTAGAGTGCATAGCTCCAAGTGAGGAAGCAGAGGCTTCAGGGAGGTGAACTAGCCTATAACACAGGCTCACTCGCTGGCTGCGTACCCACAGGCCCCGCAGGGGGACGTGTGTCATGTGGGTTCTCCACACTCTGTCCTTGATTCCCAGAAGCTGAGGTTGTTTCATTCTCCTTTTTTACTAATCTCTTGGGAAACTTCATTTTCTGAGTTCCTGTGATACTTCTCTGTAGACATGAGCAGAAACCACTTTGCGTGGCTGTGACCCATCTCCTGCTCTCCCTAGGGCCCAGTCTTTCGCCGAGCGCCTGCGACTGGGCATTGCGGTGATTCATGGGGAAGCACAGGACGCAGAGTCCGACCTGGTGGACGGGCGGCACTCCCCGCCCATGGTCAGGAGCGCAGCCGCCATCCACCCCAGCCTGGAGATCCCCAGTAAGCACGCAGCCCTGGGTCACTTCCTCTTTGCCTTTAAGGCTGACTTAATTTCTTTATTGAATGTGAAGTACTTCTTGTCTTTTTGTTTCTTAAGTTGACAAAAACTGGTACCTTTTTCTGACTGTGACAAATGCATCTCTGATGGCCTCTTAGCAGTGGTCTGTCTGATCCCAGCAAGACCCATGAACATGCCCAGTTTAGACTCACTTGTGGCCCAACAGGGATCGCATTCGTCCACTCAGTAGTGTGTGCTGGAGCAGAGGTTAACGCAGGCAGAAAGCTTTAGGTGCACAAGTTATTCACGGTCCTGTTATTTCTGATGCAAAATACTAGACAAGTAAATAGTTCAGAGGGGAGGCCTTGGTGAAGAATGTCGCATCAGCACAACTCATTATGCAGCCCTTTGAAAGAATTGACTGGAAACAAGAGAAAACCTGAGGAATGTGTGTGAATAAGGCAGTGTCTTATTCACTGTCTTCTGCCTGGGCCAGGAGGGAACATGAGGAATGTGGTTGTGACTGGCTGTTGGAGTTGTGCATAAGTTTGTTTTTGTCTTTAAGAAACTTCTTTCAAGCTTTAATAATGCCTTTTCAATGGAAAGAAAAAATACTGCTTTTGTTTGAGTCTCTTAGGGAGAAAAAGCTTTTCCTCTAGCCTCTTTAGGTTCACTGCTTAGGAGGCTGCAGTGAAATAAAACTGTCAACAGATTAGCAAGAGAGAAGGCAGATTTTAGGAGAAGGTTGGAATTTGGGGCTTAGGGGAAGGGGAGTAGGGCAGGGGCACTGATGGGAAGACGAATGGCTCTTGGGAAGGGTGAGGGGAGACAGGACCGTGTGTGGCAATGTCTGTGTAGGAGCGGCACTGACCTCTGGTCTGGGTGATGAGAGCCAGGCTTCTGTGTTGTTCCTGGATCAGGATTTATGACAACTGAATTCTTTTGGAGGGCTCTGCTTTTAGGCAGATAAAAGGATGTCAGGAAATCAGATGCAGAAACTTGTGTGTGTGTTCTCTTCTGACTAGTGCTGATTCCTAAAGAAAAGCCCCCGATCACAGTTGTTGGTGACGTGGGAGGAAGGATCGCCATCATCGTGGTACGTGTGCCTCTTCTGTGTTACTGATTGTCGTATTTACCCTCGTTAGCTTGTCAGCTCACCTTGTTAATTGTGCTGGGGATCGTGCTATGGCCAGGTAAATCTCACTTAAGTTGGTGGGTGTCTTAGGCTAAATGTTTGCTTTGGTCTAAAAACTGGTAGTTGTTAGGTGACCTCCAACTTCTGTCCGACATGACTCCCAGGACCCTCCTTGGACTCGAACATGTCCTAGAACAGCTCTCAGAACCCAGGCAGACACTAACTTCCCAGAAGCTCCCTGAACCCTGTGAGGGGGTCGTTAACTCCATTTCCAGCCCCTTCCCCTCTCTGGAGGAGTTGAGGGGGCTGAAAATGCCGAGCTTCTCATCATGGCCTGGTCCTTCTGGGACCAGCCCTGCCCAGGAGCCCTCCAGAGTCACTGAGTAAAGACAAGAGACTCTTGTCGTGCTCTCGTTACTGAGGCATCTACAGGTGCTTTAGAAGCCTGCTGTCAGGATCCAGGGACAGAAACCACCATATGTATTTTCTATTACCTCGTTCTGGGAGTCTGTGAGATTAGAAACCACTAGACTGTGTATTTTGTTAATAGTAATTATTGTTTTTCCATTATAAAAGTATATATAAGACCCCATTTCCCATCCACTCAGTGGAGAAAATTTGAAAAATAGGAAAAGTAGCACCAAAGGGGAAAGAACCTGGTGGAGTCAAAGCATCTCCTAACAGATGCTGTACTGGGCATGAACGTACGGGTGCATGTTCCTGGAGCCCCTGCCTGGTGGAGCATTGCTCTGGAGAATAGGGACAGAAAGACAAGGGCCCAGGGGCCCTGAAGTGACAACTGTCATGACTGTCCAGCTGGGAGGCCCAGAGGGAACACCACGGAAGCCAGTGACCTTGCTGTCTGGACCGGGTCACTGTGGACAGTGAGCATGTCACAGCAGAATTAGCCCTTCCCCTCTCCCCATGGTCTAGACTCACCTCTGCACATGTCTTTAGTCCCTCCTCTCTCCCTATAGTCTAGACTCACCTTTGCACAAGTGCTCATGTCTTTTGCTGCGTCTGTAATGCCAGGATGACATCATCGATGATGTAGACAGCTTCCTGGCCGCCGCGGAGACCCTAAAGGAGAGGGGTGCATATAAGATCTTCGTGATGGCGACCCACGGCCTGCTGTCCTCTGACGCCCCCCGACTGATCGAGGAGTCTGCCATCGATGAGGTAACAGAGCCGGGCCACGTGTGGTCACAGCTGCTGGTGTATGTGGGCCCCTGTCCTGAGGTCGCAAGAGCAGGTGGAGAGTTAAGAGTGGATTCCCGGCATGAGTGCTGTTTGTTGGTCACTGGCTGTAGCCTCTGCTCCTGATAGTGGCAGTGGGTGGTAGTTTTAGTAACTTCTATCGATGGAGTACACGGTACCTGCAAGTACTGCCCGGGGTCAGGCACACATCCACCCTGAGCTCTGATACACTCCTGTGGGGAGAGTGAGAGACATGCAGGGACCTCAGGTTGGGCAGCCATGAGGCGCACATGGGTTCAGACCCTATTTGCCTGATGCTGAGGCCCAGCTCCCCCTGACAGACACCCGTGATGTGACAGAGAGGAGGGCATGCTGGCCATCTTCCTACCCGCCTGTGGCATCTGGCTGAAGTGAGCCTAGCAGGCGTCCCTGCCCTGCTCTGTCCACCTTGGCCCAGGGCCTGGCTGGCTGGAGAGCAATTGTGTGAATCACATGTTTATTATCTTTTAAGAAATAAAAATGCTGTCTCCTGTACATTCCTGGAAGATCAGGCAGAGAGCCAGTCTTGAGTCCTCACGGTGGCCAGGTGATTGCATTTTTGGTGCTGGTTTGGCATGATCCCTGACCATCCCATTCAAGTCTCGTGTGTGGACTTTCTTGTTATGAGCTGTCTTGAGGCTTATTTTGGAAGTAGGAAATAATGTATTATAAATAATAACTTGAGAAGTATTCCCATCCTCTGTTTTTTTTTAAAGAAGGCTGAGTTTTTTTTTTTTTATAGCTTTTGAAAAATGTTTGTTTCTCCTTTTTTAGATGTTTTATCAAATCTTAACTTTTTAAAATAGCAGCTTTATTGAGATATACTGGAAAGTGTCGCTCAGTCATGTCCGACTCTGTGTGACCCCATGGACTATACAGACCATGGAATTCTCCAGGCAAGAATACTGGAGTGGGTAGCATTTCCCTTCTCCAGGGGATCTTCCCAACCCAGGGATTGAACCCAGGTCTCCCACACTGCAGGATTCTTTACCAGCTGAGCCACAAGGGAAGTCCAAAGTCCCCACTTATCCACAGGGGATGGGTTCCACGGCCTGCCGCGGGATGTCCAAAACTGTGCAGGATAGTACTGAACCCTGTGTGTAGTCTGTGATGAAGTTTGTTAGGCACAGTAGGAGATTAACAATGACTAATGATAAAATATAACTATTATAACAACATACCTTATTGTGCAAATTTAATGCCTTTTTTGTCTTAACTAAGCACTTACCACACACTGTAGCCATAAATTTTGTGGTTTGAGGTCCAACAGCAAAACCAGCATGAGTTTGTTTCCTTCTACACAGTTTCATAGATGGATGATTCATTCTTACCAGGGATCTTCACAATCTCAGTTCTTTCCCTGAGAACTTTTGCCTTTTTGCTTAAAGGAAACACTTAACAGCTTCTCTTTGGTGTATCTGAATTGCCGGTATCACTGCTCTTGTGGTCTGGGGCCATTATTAAGTCAAATAAGGGTCCGCTGGTCACAGGCACTGAGTCACTGCCGGGGTGGGGTCTGCCGGACAGAGGGATGAGTCCCCTCCCAGATGGGGCACCACGGTGTGAGGTTTCCTCACGCTACTCAGCTCTCTGCACGATTTAAGACGTTTGGGTTATTTATTTCTGGAACCTTCCATGTAATGTTTTCAGACTGAGGTTGACTGAGGGTAACTGAAACCATGTAACGTGAAAGCTTGGATGGTAGGTGGGAGGAAGGTCTATAGTTCACATGCCTTATGACTGACCCATTTAAAGTATACGAGAAAGACAAATGTCATATATTGCTTATATGTGGAGTCTTTAAAAAATGGTGCAAATGAGCCTATTTACAAAACAGAAGTAGTCACAGATGTAGAAAACAAACTTGTGGTTGGTCACCAAGGGAGACAGAGGAAGAGGGATAAATCGGGAGATTTGGATTGACATAGGTACACTATGATGTGTAAAATAGATGGTCAACAAGGACCTGATGTATAGCACAGGGCACTCTACCCATCGATATTCTCTAATGCCGTGTATGGAAAAGAAGCTAAAAAGGAGTGGATATGTGCATATGTATAATTGATTCACTGTGCTGTACAACAGAAACTAACACATCGTAAGTCAACTCCAATACAAATTCATTTTAAAAAATTAAGTATATAATAATTTTCAATATTATCACAAAACTGTGCAGCCATTACCACCCCCACTTTTAGAACACTTTCAGGCTGCCACAGTGGAACTCCTTACCTGTTGTCTGCCTCCGTTTCTTCTCAACCCACTAATCTTCAGGTGGCCGCTAATCCGCTGTTTGTCTCTTTAACAGGTTTACCTAACCTGGCCTTCTCATATAAATGGAGTCGTATAATACATGCCTTTGGTGTCTGGCTTCTTTCACTAGCCAAAACTTTCATAATGTTTTGAAAGTTCACCCGTGTTGCAGCAGGTGTCAGTACTTCATTCCTTATTTTTGCCTAATGGTATTTCATTGCCTGGATGTAGCACATTTTGCTTTCTATTCATAATTTGGGTTGTTTCCTCTTTTTGACTATTGTAAATAACACTATTACAAACTTTTATGTACAGGTTTTCAGATGGAGATGTTTTCATTTCTCTTGGGTGTCTACCTAGGAGAAGAATTGCTGGGTCACATGGTAATTGTATGTTTAACCATTTGAGGAACCTCCAGGCTGTTTTCCAACACAGCTGAAACAGTTTGCATTCCCACCAGCAGTGAATGAGGCTTCCAGTTTCTTCACGTCCTTGCCCATACTTGCTGTCATCTGTCTCTATAGCTGTCACAGTGGGTGCAAACCTTAACCTAAGATGCAGGTTGTGTTCACACTGACTGAACTCATACTGAAGGCAGAGTAGACCCCAGTCCTGGAAGTAGGACCTCAAAAGGGTGAGAATGTGTCACGTTTTCATATCCATCCAGGAGGCTACTTGGTGTTACGACCTCTCCTTTCTTCCTCTTGATTGGCAGGTGGTGGTTACCAATACAATTCCACATGAAATCCAGAAGCTCCAGTGCCCCAAAATCAAAACTGTGGATATCAGCATGACCCTCTCGGAAGCCATCCGTCGGATTCACAATGGGGAGTCCATGTCCTACCTTTTCAGAAACATAGGTTTAGATGACTGAACACTGTCCTCTTAAAGTCCCAAGGGCCACACTGGAGTCATGAGTGTCTGTACTCTGAGGCGCATGCCCGGCTGGATGCATTTCACGGGGGCCAGCTGTGTCTTGTTCCTTCCTTTTGTTAATTTCTATGAAGACAGACCCACTTTTTATGTCCATTTGGGTGTTTGTGAGTTTGAGGGGCAATTTTTATAAAAGAAAAACTATATTCTCCTCCTAAATAGAATAAATTAAGACCTGGTTGTATTCAGTTTAACCATTTAAAAAATAACTTGAAAAAAAACTTTTAAGCTCACAAACGGCCTTTATCGAAAGTTGCTGCAGCCCAAGTGCTTTTAAAAAGTTAGTAAAATAAAATGATCTGCTGTATGATACTGCAGTTAAAAAGCCAAAAAGATTATGCTGTTAAATCCAGTAAATTACATTTTTAGAAACGCTTTTATAGACAAGCATATGGAATATGTGACGGTTATTTATTTTCTGCAACAAAAGAAGGAATAAAAACATACTGTGTTTGTGTGGTTTTTTTTTAATTTTGTGTTTTGGCAATGGTTTTGTAACTAAAATAAAGTGGAAGCTGAATATCCATGTGTGGATGTTGAAGTGTTGGTCAGCTTGTGGGGATTTCTGCAACTTTAGGTGGTGTAGTTGTGTCTTTGGGATGTAATGTTCCCTGTTCTGTTTGTCCAGGGCCCTGCACGTTCATGACGCATAGTCACTTGACTGCAGCAGGAGAGGAGTTGGGACACCAGCATGAGCTACTGGGGTCAGGTCAGGAGTCAGCATGAGCTGCCGTCTGCATCTTGGCGTGGCTTTGTTCTGCTCCTTGTCGGATAGCACAGTCATACTCAAAACAAAATGCACCACTGCATGCTGTGGATGATGAGGTGCTGGAGGGAGGGGGTTCCAGAGGGCAAGTGCTGTGACCCTAGTCAGTGTCGAGCATCTCATATTGTTTGTCAGAGTTCAGAGCCCAACACTGCCTTAGAGTTTATCAGGTGTGAGATACGGGGTCATCTAACCACAGTCCCCTCCTGCTCATGCACACAAAAAAAGAAGCCTTTCTTACAGAGAGAAAAATTGCTTTTTTTTCTTCTAGAAAACCTTAAACCTTTGCTTTCTGAGCATGTGCTCAGAAATACCTGAGAAAGCCATAAGCTTGCACCTCTGTCTGACCTTGGGTTTCTGTGCAAGCAAGACGTGAGGGCCCCAGTGGGGTTGTAGATTTCCTGGCTGAGTGTTGACGGCATGCCCAGGACTCACAGCCCACCTGCAGATTGGGAATGCTGTTCTCTCTCTCTTTTTTGGTTTCAGAGTTTTATGGAAGTGTGTGATGACTCACTAGCTGACCACTAAGCTGACTGTCCAGAGATTTCAGTTGCCACAAACAATGAAGAATGCAGACTTTACAGAATCAGTTGAGAAAAGCAGACAGACCCTGTGGATGGAGAAGACCCTGATTTCCATCACATGATATTAGAAATAGCAGTTTTCAACAACAAAAAGTTCCGAGGCGTCTAAAGAAACAAGGTTGCACCCATATACAGGGTCTTCCTTGAGGAAGCTCAGACTTTAAATGTACTAGACAAAGACTTTAAATCATTTATTTTAAACATGCTCAAAAAACTACAGGAAAGTATAGGAATTATATGTCACCGAATGGAGGATATCAATAAAGAGGAATAATAAAAATGAATCAAATGGGGAGGATTTGTGGAAGATGGTGGAATAGGAAGCACCAGGAATCTGTCTCCATCTAAACAGTGGCAAATCCATCTAATGATTTTGAAACTCTGGAGTCTTGAGGGTTTGCAACTTCCAGGGAAAGTGTTAGACGGTAAATGTAGCTACCTTTTGTCAAATCCAGCTCTTAGTAAAGTTGCTGATACCTGACCCAGACTCAACCCTGCAGCAGACAGCTCTGCATACATTCCTGGAGCAATCTGCACAGTTTTGTGGGAGCCAGGATAGGCAAGAAGTCCCCTCCTCCAGACAGCAGAAATCTGTGCTCTGATAGCAAGTAGCTACTTCTTGGCACAGAGATCCAAAGAGGCTGGTAACCATTGTTACTTCACCCTGCCCCACACCCCTACCATTGTTGCAAGCTCCACCCTGCTCCCGCTGAAGAAGGAGTAGTTCCTAACTCACTATGAGGCCAGCATTACCCTAGGACAAAAACCAGACAAAGATATTACAAGAAAAGTAAACCAAAGTCCAAGATCTCAAGAACATAGGTGCAAAAATCCTCAACAAAATATTAGCAAATTCATTCCAACAATGTATAAAAAGAATTATGCACAACCTAGTGGATTTATCCCAGATATGCAAGACTTTTCTCAGCAGTTGAAAATCACTTCATGTAATCCATCATACCAACAGACTAAAGAAAAATAATGATTATATCAATCAATGCAGAAAAAGCACCTGACAAAATTCAACATCCATTCATGACAAAAGCTGAGTGAAATAGGAATAGAGAGGGAACTTGATCTTGTTGAAAAATATCTACTGACAGCCTGCAGTGAACATCATACTTAGTGGTGAGAAACTAGAAGCTTTCCCACTAAGATCAGGAATAAGTCAAGAATGTCCCCTCTCATCATTTGTTTTCAATATTTTGAAAACTATTCAAAATATTCAATAGCTATTGAATAGCTTATTCAATAGCTTATTTCAATAAGCTGGTGCAATAAGGCAAGAAGGATTTAAAAGGTACACAAATGGGGAAGGAAGAAATAAAACTCTTTTGTTCTCAGATGATATGATCACCTATGTAGAAAATATGAATCAAGAACAACTCTCCCAACTCATTACTAATAAGTGATTATATCAAGATTGTAGGATAAAAGTCAATTGCTTTCCTGTACCAGCAAAGAACAAGTGGAATTTGAAAGTAAAAATACAAAACCGTATACACTATCACCACAAAAATGACATATTAAGTATAAATCTAAATAGGCATAAAATCTATGTAAGGGAAACCACAAAATGGATGAAATAAATTTTTAAAATCTAAATGGAGAAATAGCCTATGTTCATGGATAGGAAGACTCGTCAACATGTCAGTGCTTTCCAATTTGGTCTAAAGATTCAATGAAATTTCAATAAAGATTCCACCAGATTATTTTGTGGATTTTGTCAAACTGATTCTAAAGTTTACATGGAGAGATAGAAGACTCAGAATAGCCAAGGCAGTAATTGAAGGAAAAGAACATATTCACACTCCCTCTCTTCAAGCCATCTGTAAAGTTGCCATAATCAGGAGTGTGGTGGGACTTCCCAGGTGGGCCAGTGGTTTAAGACTCTGCATGTCCACTTCAGGGGGTGTGGGTTCCCCTGGTCAGGGAACTAAGATCCCACATGCCCTATGGCAAAGCCAAAAACAACAACAAAAAAATATTGTTGAAAAAAAGACGGATCAGTTGAACAGAATAGAGAATGCTCATAAACAGACCCACATAAATATAGCTAACCAATCTTTACAAAGGAGCAAAGGCAACACAGTGGACCAAAAATATTCTTTTCAACAAACAGGGCTTAAATAACTGGATGACAGTGTGAAAGTGTTAGTCACTCAGTCATGTCCAGCTTTTTGTGACCCCATGGACTGTAGCCCCCCAGGCTCCTCTGTCCATGGAATTCTCCAGGCAAGAATACTGAGTGGGTAGCCATTCCCTTCTCCAGGGGATCTTCCCAACCCAGGAATCAAACCTGGGTCTCTGGCATTGTGGACAGATTCTTTACTGTCTGAGCCACCAATAACTGGATATTCACATACAGGAAAAAAAAAAAAGGAATGCAGACTTAAAGTCAAACTCCTAGAAGAAAATCTGGGTGACCTTGGTTATTGCAATGGTTTTTTTCAGATACGACACCAAAGGATGATCCATGAAAGAAATAATTGATAAACTGGAATTCACTAAAATTAAAAACTTCTGCTCTGTGATACTCGGTGTTAAGAGTGAAAGACCTGTCATAGACTAGGACAAGTCTTTGGAAAACAATTATCTGATAAAGGACTAGTAAAGAGAACAATTAAATCTCCATAAGAAAAATAAAAACCTGATTAAAAATGAACCATAAAACTTGGAAGTGAGATTACAATATGCTTAGATTTAAGTGATTTTTAGAAAGAAAATTCCAGGATTGATTTGTTATTATTGAAATTCCACTAAGACAAAGTAATAGGACTTTGTTTTTGATCAGTTAAATAGACATCAGTGTCAACATATAGAATTATTTTTTCTTAAAACTTGTTCACATATTTTGATCCATTTTTCTGTGGTATTTGGTACAGTAAATGTTTTGAATTTACATTGAAAAAAATGGGGCCAAAGATCTTTCAGACACCTCACTAAAGAAAGTATATAGATAGTAAAGAAGCATATGAAGAGATGCCTTCTATCATATGCCATCAAGAAACTGCAAATTAAAACAATGAGAAACACTGCACACTTCTTAGACCAACATCTGGAACACTGACAGCATCAAATGCTGATAACATGGAACAACAGGAACTCATTCATCACTGGTGGAGATACAGAAATGACCACTTGGGAAGATGGTTTGGCAGTTTCCTACAAAACTAAACACACTTACCATGTGATCCAGCAGTCATGCTCCTTGGTATCTCTGAAAGGAGTAAAAAACTTATGTCCACATAAAAACCTGCACATGGAGTTTTATAGCAGTTTTATTCCTAATTGCCAAAACTTGGAATCCATCAAAATGTCCTTTAGTAGGTAAATGGATAAATAAACTGTGGTGCCTTCAGACAACGGAATATTATTCAAGCAAAAGGAAATGAATTATCAATCCATGAAACAATGTGGAGGAAACTAAATAGAATCTTCGTAAGTGAAAGACAATCTAAAAAAGCTACATACTATGTAATTCCAACTATATGATGGTCTGGAGAAGGCAAAACTGTGAACACTAAGAGATCAAGTCTTGGTGGGGGAATGGAAAGAGAAATAGATAGAGCCTAGATTTTTAGGGCTGTGAAGATGCTCTGTGATACTCTAATGATGGATGTATGTCATCATACATACATCTAAACCCATGGAACACACAACAGCAAGAATAAACCCTAATGTAAACTCTGGACTCTGGATGGTGATGGTGTGTCCATGTGCAGTCACCAGTTGTGACTTTTTGGCTGGACAGCTGTCTGTATTCCTGTCCTAGGTGAGCTGGCCCAGAGGAGTTGGATCTGCGAGTGTGGTCAGGGGAGGCTGGAAGAGAGTATAAACTGTGATTGGACTACCGTGTGGAATTTCTTCTCCATTCCCTCCCCTGCCACCCTCCTCCTGGCCCCATCCATCAGCTCATGTCAGCCATCTCTCCCCAGGCCTTTTGATCAGACAGTGGAGGGGGTGGAGGACTCTGTCTATGTGGTATATTTCTTTCTGAGACCCAGGCTATGGAGAGGGGACCAAAGGCTGTTCTTTCAGCTACTTCCTCTTTAGGAGACCAGTTTAATAAATCTGGACATTACCCATTTGGGTCCCTCTTCAGTACGAAGTGACCTTTTGAGTCACGATGCATTTCCAACAATGAGTAAGACATCTGAGAGCCTAGCTGGCTGAAGGTGAGGGTGGCTGGGGAGGGCGGCCTGGGCCTGCCTGAATTTACCGAAAGCAGTGACTTCTTCCCGGTCGAGTCCTGCATGTGAAGGGGATTAATCTTCAAACCCTCCCCCTTGGTTACCAAATAACAGGCACAGTTGGCTTTGCAAGCCGGTGTTCCCAGTGCCAGCCGCTCACTCATTAACACTTCTGGAAGGGCTGCATGTCAGGATAAACTCCAAATGCTCTGTGAAGCCACGGGCCATGTCACTGAGAGCTGCCTGGCTGCACACACGGATTTAATCAGTGAGCAAGCATCTGAGCAGGAGGGACACAGTGGACCCTAGCCATCACTGCCACCACCGGGGAGGATCTGGGGTTGGATACAGGGCCGAAGCCCAGCTCTGGCCCTCAAGTGACTGGATGGGGGCAGGTGGCCACCCTCCTGCCTCCTTCTCTGATTGTGACCCACACCACCTACTCTGAGCACAGAACGGGTCAGTGAGCAGAAAGATTAAGCATGGCCCAGCCCCTGGCAGATGCTTGCTAGATGTGGGGCCCAGAATCTGTGGAGCTGGGAGACCAGGGGACCCAAGAGGATGGTCAGGAAGGGGCTTTTGGGCCTGGTCTAGAAAAGAGGACAGGAAATGTGGTGACAAGCCCCTTGTGTCCAACAGAGGACATTCTGTGGCTGGAAGTGACCCAAGAGATGCAAGTCACTGCCAAGGGCCTTGTGGTCCACTTGAGGCCCAAAGGCTATAGAAAGACATGGCTGCTGTCACAGCAGCATCCCCAGAGGAGGGGCATTTGCCCCCAACCCTCCTGCTCCTTACCTGAATTGCATGCATTCGGTAACAAGCCCTTTCTTTCTGGGACAATTCTGGTTCCTCTGGGTCCACTAGACCCCTTTACATCTCCCAAGTCTCCTTTGTGTGTAAAGATGTGCCCCTCCCGCAGTGGTCCCCACCGGGGCAGGGGAGGGGGTAAGGTGGAGAAGACCCAGCTGCACTTTGAAGCGTGCACCGTGGGCTGGAATGTCACCGTCGTGCTGGTTTAATCATAAATTTACTGCCTGCCAGGAAGCCCTCTGCTCTGGTCCAGCCCTCAGTCCCATTCGCTCAGAGCCGGCCCTGCTGCAGGATGGCTGTGGACAACTCCACCAGCGACCCCCATACCCCCAGGCCGCAGCTGAGCACGGTGGACAGTGCCATCATCGCCGTGTATTTTGCCCTGAACGTGGCCGTGGGCATATGGGTGAGAGGACTGGTGGCACAGGCCAGGGCGGGCACTGGGGTGTGGGAACCATCTGGGATGTCCCCGGGCATGGCATCCTCTCTCTGGAGGCCCGATGCCCTCAGGCCCTCCTCCCAGCCCTGGGGAGATTTGCCGGAGACCTTGACCAAGCCCTTCTCTCTTTGGCACCAGATTCTCAAGTCTCTAAAGTGAGGAACAGGAAGTGTCTCTAAGGGCAGGTCAAGTGGAACACTGGGGGCTTCTGTGCGGCTGACAAGCTGGGCGCTTGGCACAGTCTTCTGGCCTCCCCTCCAATGTCAGATGGGCTCACAGAATCACAGGGGTTCTTGGCTGCGCCCACACCAGCTGAGCCAAATCCAGAGGGGGGCAGTGGCATGCAGGGCCTGGGGTCTCTGTTATAACAATGCCGTGTCCACCAGCCTTGCCTAGTTCATAAGCCAGTTTCTTCTGCCTTTGAGAAGAGAGAAGGGCTGTAGGTCACCACAGGCTCCAGCAGCAGTGGGAATTCTGCTATGCAGGTGCTGTATGCATTGCCCCCCCCCCCACAGCCCCATTTGCAGGTGAACCCCAGGGCTTCAGGGGGCAGGGACTTGGGCAGTGAACCCAGGACCTGCCCAGAGGGGAGGGCCTCCTCCATCTACTCCTAATCGTGGGTGGGAGATGGACACAAATCAGCCAGTCTTGTCCCCAGAGCTCCGCAGGCTGGCACCCCTGAGCCCTGACTGGCAGTGGTCTTCCTCTCCTGGTGGAGAATGAGGAGCCCCTCTTATCTTCTCTGGCTATGGCCCCAGTTCTAGGATCCTTGGAAGTTGCTCAGCTTTTTGAGTCTCAGGATCTTTATCTGTAAGACATGTATCACCTGCCTGGTCCTAGGTCCCAAGTCCCCAAATGGGAGAGGTCTTCTCCCTGAGGTGACCACATGTAAGGGACCCTGCTGCTGCTGTCGATCCTATAGTAGAAAGTGCAAGTGGTGGGGGTGGGGGTGGGGGTGGTGGAGATGATGGTGGAGGCGGAGGAGGGCCTGGTGGAAGTAACAGCCGCAGTGACTGGAAGTCATTCTCATGTGATTAAATAGTAACTCTCAGGCAGCCCAGTGCTGGGTGTCGGGAAAGTTGGGTCTGTGTGTTCTCGGAACAGTTACTTAACCGCCTGTTTCCTCAAACACACCCCGTAGATCTGTACAGTTGCCTCTCACAGCTGTTCCAAGGAGCACAGGAGCCCAGTGGATGTGAAAATCCATTCCAACCATAGCGTGCTGTGTTCTTGGGAGCACCGTACTGGGGGTCAGAAGAGGGGCCCCTGCAGTGGAAGCTTTCTTTTTTGTGGTCTTAATGACCCAGATAACCACAACAGTGTGGTCACTCACCTAGAGCCAGACATCCTAGAGTGTGAAGTCAAGTGGGCCTTAGGAAGCACTGCTATGAACAAAGCTAGTGGAGGTGATGGAATGCCAGCTGAGCTATCTCACATCCTAAAAGATGATGCTGTTAAAGTGCTACACTCAATATGCCAGCAAATTTGGAAAACTCAGCAGTGGCCACAGAACTGGAAAAGGTCAGTTTTCATTTCAATCCCAAAGAAGGGCAATGCCAAAGAATGTTCAAACTACCACACAATTGTGCTCATTTCACATGCTAGCGAGGTCATGCTCAAAATCCTTCAAGTTAGGCTTCAACAGTACATGAACCAAGAAATTCCAGATGTACAAGCTGGGTTCAGAAAAGGCAGAGGAACCAGGGATCAAATTGCCAACATCCGTTGGGTCATAGAGAAACCAAGAGAATTCCAGAAAAAACATCTTTTTCTGCTTCATTGGCCACACTAAAGCCTTTGACCGTGTGGATCACAACAAACTGTGGAAAATTCTTAAAGAGATGAGAATATTAGACCACCTTACCTGCCCCCTGAGAAACCTGTATGCAGGTCAAGAAACAACAGTTAGGACTGGACGTAGAACAATGGACTAGTTCAAAATTGGGAAAGGAGTGCATTAAGGCTGTATATTGTCACTCTGTTTATTTAACTTACATGCAGAGTACACCTGAGTACATGCAGAGTACATGAGGAATGAGACAGGCTCTGTGACAGCTGGCTTGGGACCCCTAGAGCTGGAGTGAGTCAGGACCACTCAGTCAACCGCTGGGAAAGATGAGGCCCTTGTAGGAAGGGAAAATGCTGTGAGAAGGCCGTTGGCAACATCCACTACATCCTTGAGGATAAGAGAACATGACAGAGAAAAGCAGGGGCTAAGACCAGGGTGGCTCTGGAGGTTGTGCGGTGCACCGCCTACACAGGTGGACGTGGCCATCCTGGCAACATGGTGAGAGTCCGCAGACTGTACTGTGTTCAGTATGGCTGGATCACGAGCACAGAAAGAAAGCAGAGGTCGGGGGGCTGTAGTGGGACAGGCAGCCAGCAGTCATATCAAAAGCTTCGAGTGGTGGGCCCAGACAAACCAGCTTAGTCATCCTGACCATCTGGGGAGCAGAGAGAAGGCAGTTGGAGTCTGGAAGAACCAGGCCTGCATGTTGATGGACTCGTGTTTCAGCAAATAGTGGTGCCTCTTCCTCTTGGGGGCTGGGCGATGGCTGTGGTGTGGATGCACGTTTGTTCATCTGTCCATCCATCCATTAGTTGATGAGCCTTCGGGTTGCTTCCACTCTCAGGCTGCGGTGAGTTACACAGCTGTGAGCAGCCATGTGCGGGGGTCATTTGAGCACCTGCTGTCAGCTCTCCTGGATGTAGCTGGGAGCGGACCTGCTGGATCTCAGGGTCACCTGTGTGTCCCACTCTCTGGGGAGCCAGTGCACTGTTTCCCACAGTAGCGGCACATTGTTCACTGCCTTTGGCCCAGTGAAGGCTCCAGCTCCTGCCCCTGTCTTTGCAGTCCTCCTGCCGGGCCAGCAGGAACACGGTGAGCGGCTACTTCCTAGCCGGCCGGGACATGACGTGGTGGCCGGTGAGTGCTCCCCGACCTCTCCCGCCCCTCCTTGCACTGGGGCCACATCTGACCCCTAGGTCAGCCTGCATCTGCATCCCTGCCGTCCCTTCCTATGTCCTCCTCACACCCAGGGTCACCCCCAGGCTGGGCCAAGCTGGGAGAGATGGGGCCTAGGTCATCAGGGGTCCCTGAGCGGCAGTGTGGGGGCAGGTTGTGGAAGGCGTGGAGAGAGCGGGGCTGATGCTAGCTTCTCCCCTCTCTCTCCTCCAGATCGGAGCCTCTCTCTTTGCCAGCAGCGAGGGTTCAGGCCTCTTCATTGGACTGGCGGGCTCGGGAGCGGCTGGAGGCTTGGCGGTGGCCGGCTTTGAGTGGAATGTGAGCTCCAGAGGCGGGTGTCCACCATGGGCGGGAGTGGGGTGGGGTGGGGTGGGCACCAACCTTGATAGGTGCTGGATGGCGCTAATCAGAGCCCACCCCCCCATGGCCAGAGGCAGTATCCAGCAACCAGGAAGGCCAAGATCCAGGCAGGCAGGGTTGATGGGGAAGTCGGGTCTACAGAATGCTGCAGGCAGGGAGTCCTGAGCCTCGGCCGTCATCCTTAGTGTTCAAGGCTGCAGAGAGAAGGCAGGGACAGTTCTCGACCCTGTATGTCCCTAGCCTTACCTGCCTCTGTCCCCTGCAGGCTACCTACGTGCTGCTGGCCCTGGCATGGGTGTTTGTGCCCATCTACCTCTCCTCGGAGGTGAGTCTGCTCAGGGACAGCCCAGCTGGGGGCCTCAGGACAGCCGGGCCTGGGGTGGAGTGGGTGGTGGTGATGGGCAGGACTCCTGGCTTCACACATGAGTTGGTGAGTGAAACCACAAGTGTCAGCTCTGGATTTGTTTCTAGTCCAACTAACGTTCTCATCAACCCATGGAGACAGGTCCCCTGGGCCTTCAGCCCAGGTGCCTTTTCTGTTGGTCTCTACTCTACCTGCATGTTGCATCTGGAGGAGGATGCTCCATCTACCTGAGCACACAGGCTGCACACCTGGGCCGCACACCTGGGCTGCAAGTCACATCCTCAATTGTGCCGCTTCTTTAGTTCCAGCCAGGCGTCACTAAGTCCGGTGGTTCACATTTCCTGGATGTCTCAGTCTCGTACTTCCCTATCTAGCCAGAGCTCATCTGGATTTGTTATAACAGCCTTCCAACTTGTCCCCTGCTCCCAGCCACAGTCCCCCATGCATCCCTCCTGTCTCAGCCCACCACAGCCCAGCCTAAGCTGCTCACCATGTGATCGGAAGTGCAAGCCTGGAATTCTAGGCCCGGTGCTGGGGCTGTGAGATGCTCCAGGCCCAGTCGCTAGCTGTGGCCTTGCTGTGAGCTTAGCCCCCCGGCCTGTGCCCCTAGATCGTCACCATGCCTGAATACATGCAGAAGCGCTACGGGGGCCAGCGGATTCGTGTGTACCTGTCTGTCCTGTCACTGCTGCTGTCCGTCTTCACCAAGATATCGGTGAGCCACCCCCTCCCCCACCAGCTTCTGGCCAGCTTAGCCGGAACATCCCTGCTCTGGGGCCCTCAAAGAGACCTGACAGCCCCTGATCCGCTTCTGCCTTGTCTGACAGCAGGGGAGACCAAGGCCCAGAGAGGCACACTGACTTGCCCAGGATCACACAGCTGCCCCAGGGCCCCGGGAGAGGGAAGAATGCAGCCCTGTGACTCCTGCTTTGCCCCTGGGTTCTTCCCTGGACTCTGGGTCCTGGTTCTGGCAAGCCAGGAGTGCCCACTAGGGGGAACCCAGAGCCCGCCATCTCTGGCCCAAGGTGGCAAGTCACTGTCAGCTCCACTACCAGGCTGACCTCCCAGCACCTCCTTTCCCTGGGGGGCCTGGCCTGGGCATATCCTGTCCACACCCTGGGTCTCACAGGAAAGGAGACTGAGGCCAGGATGTGGGGAGCTGGTCCCAAGCCCGTGGGGCCTCCATGACCACTCCAGGCCCGTGTTCTCCCTCCTGAGTCCCCATCACCAGCCTGTCCCTGGAGGCCATCCAGCCGCTCCAGCTCTGGCAAGGCTCAGAAGTGCACAGCGGTCCCTGCACAGACCGAGCCTGGTTCCTCCCTCCTGCCTGGCAGCTTCTGCAGGGGTGTCCAGGGCTTCCTCCTCCACGACCCCAGGAGCCCTGGGAGCCTTGGCCAGGCCTCCACCTGGGCTGCCAGGCCCCTGCTGGGTGGGGGTGGGTTTCAGAGAGAGGGTGGTTAGCAAGCAGGCCCTGCCTTCTCTCCCAAGAGGAACTCCCCCGGGGCTTTCTTCTGGAGGGGGTGCTGCTGCCCTCCAGGACGGCTCCCACTTGACTCCTCCCTCTCCTCCCCCTCCTGAGTCCCCTACCCCTCTGGAAGCAGGAACTCAGCACCGTGGGGGGTGCAGATGTAGCACAGGGGATGGCCCTCAGAAGAGAAGGTGGCGTTCCTGCTGGGTGGCACAGAGGCGGGGTCTAGTGGAGAAAGGGATGCTGATAGGGAGGGCAAACGCCAAGGGCAGGGGGCGGTGTGGGATGCTTTGGGCATGGTCATGGAGGGGGGCTCAGACCCCAGGGGTCAGACACCTCAGGACCAGAGGAGGAGCCGGTGGGGGGTGACAGGGAGCGGTGGGCCTGGGACTGACCAGCAGTCACATAGCCAGACAGTTGCTGTGTGTTGCTCTCAGGGGTCACTCCCACCCCAGGCCAGAGGGCTGGTGAGAGGTGAGTAAGGGATCTGAGTGCCCAAGCGGCCCAGGGGCTTTGAGCAGGGGTGACACGGTCAGGCTTGTGTTAGTGCCGCCACCCTCCTCTACCAGAGGATGGACTTGAGGGGACAGGGGCGAGAGGCGAGGGGCCAGGGTGGGGTCTGCCAAGGCCAACCTCTCAGCCCATTTGTCCTGTTGGTGGCTCTGAGGCAGAGTTCACATCTCACACTCAGAGCCTGGGCAGGGTGTCCAAAACGGTGGGGGAGTAAGTGTGGGGAGTCCTTAGAGGACACTTTGTGCACAGCCCTGTTTACAGACAAGACAATGGAGACCTAGGGAGTGGTCACGGTGAATCAGGCAGAGACCATGGTTAGGGCCCAGCGGGCTGATCACTGCCCCACTTTGTGATGAGGTGACTCAGTTGTTGTCATTCAGTCGCTCGGTTGTGTCTGACTGTCTGTGACTCCATGGACTGTAGCTCACCAGTCTCCTCCGTCCATGGGATTCTCCATGATAAGAGTCTCCTCTTGTCCATGGGAGGCAAGAATACTGGAGTGGGTTGCCATTGCTTTCTCCAAGGGATTTTCCAGACCCAGGCATCAAATCATCATGTTCTGCATTGGCCGGCAGATTCATTACCACTAGTGCCACCAGGGAAGCCCCAGGTGACTCAGTTTACCCACCTATAAAATGGGAGGGAACCCCACTGATGTCAAGGCTGGGGCTTCTGCACTGAGGCTGGGACTGCATGAATGAAGTGGGAGGGAAGCAGGGGGAATGCTGATTGCCAGGCCAGGCCTTGGAGGGACTGGGTTCCCCTGACAAGGCTTTGGGCTGAAGTCGTTTGCAGCTCTGGAGCCCAGCAGGGCCCCTGAGGCCCTGACCTCACTGGGCAGAGCCCCTGGAATGCCCTGTGTCCCCACATGCCCAGGAGTCACCCCAGCTCCAGCCTGCTCAGAGACCATAGGGCCCGCCTGCTGCCAGCCCCCAGGCAGGGACACTAGTCTGCAGAGAGAACCGCCAAATGACCCCAGGGGTCCTAAAGGCTGGAGGGTAGCCAAGCTCCATCACTGTGTGCTCCGGGCGGGTCACTTAACCTCTGGACAATAGAGAAATGCGTTCTGATGCCCTGGCTCATTCAGGGGCTCGAGGCCAGTTGCTTCAAACCTCTGCGCCTGTATGCCCCTCTGTGGAGTGGAGTGGCTCCCTCAGGGGTCCCACCTGCCCCACACTGGCTTCCCCTGCTCCGAGTCTGCAGAGGCCAGGGGGCTGGTGGGGGCTGCGCACAGTGCCGTGGTGCTCCACACCCACCCCCCACTTTACAGACAGGGTCCCTGGGCTCAGGAGGTAAGGTGACCTGCTCACCAGGGTCACAGACCCAGGGCTCTTAGCTCCTACCCAGCTGCAGCTCGCCTGGGCCCCCAGGGCAGAGTTCAGCAGAAGGAGGGGTCCGATGGGGCTGGGGGACAACCTGGAGCCTGCAGCTGACCACACACTTACCTGGCCTCCAGCAGCACCAGGAGCCTTTACAGAGACCACGCAGGGTCCCTGAGTCCCACCTCCACACCCATGCCCGTGCTGTCCCCACCACCCAACCATTGCTCTCAGAAGGAAGTCCCTGGGCTGCAGAGTGGTTTGGGAAGCAGGGCATTGGGGGCAGGCTGAGTCCTGAGTGATGCAGAGATGGGGACATTCCCGGACAGAGGGACCTGGGTGAGCTGAGGCCTGGAGGCAGCAAAGTGCTGGGTGTGGAACAGCAGCCAGTCTGGTGTGACCAGAGTCACTTGGGCTTAAAGGGCAGTGTGGCCAGAGCCTGAAGGCTGGGCATACAGACCAGGGCTCCCTTCCAAGGCGACTAGGGTCTGGGGAGGGGTCTTTTTTTTCTTTTTTTTTTTTGCTGTTCTGGGTCTTGGTTGCTGTGCAGATTTTCTCTAGTTGCAGGACACGGGCTTCTCACTGCAGTGGCTTCTCTTGTTGTGGAGCACAGGCTCTAGGCACACAGGCTTCAGTAGTGGTGGCGCATGAGCTTAGTTGCCCTGAGACCTGTGGGATCTTCCCAGACCAGGGATCGAACCTATGTCTCCTCTGCTTTCTAGAACCCACCCCCTTTCTCCCATTGCCTGGCCACTCCCATCTCTGATACTTGTCAGGGCCTGACCGTGGGGAGGTCCCTTCACCTCCCTGTTCCTGGCCTGATGGAGCGGGACAGACCTTCCTGTTCTTATATTCAACAGCTGTGGGCCTCTCAGCTTGGGCTGGACACACTACATGCACTGACTCGCTTCCAGGGGTGGGGGCAGAGTGCGGGGCTACTGTTCTGAGAGCAGCTTGTCAGCGTCCTCACACTGGCTGGTCTATACTCCAGGGGAGGGGAGGGGAGGAGCCTGGGGAAGTAGGGGTCTGAGAGCCTGGGTTCAGCAGGGCTGCTGGACCTCCAGCTGGACCGGTGCTCTGGCCTCATGCAGACTGTCCCCCATGTGGCAGCTGACCTGTGGCTTTGCCCAGCCTTCTCAGGAACCTCTTGGCCCCACAGGCTGTGTTTTGGGGTATCTTCCTGACATGAAGCAGGTTTGGACACTGGGGAGGTGGGACCCCTGGCCTAGCCCTAGGTCCTACAGAACGGGGTCCTCCCTCCTTCTCTGGGCACCCATTGTGCAGTGAAGGTGTGTGTGTGGTCTGTAAAGCCCATTCCAGCACTGATATTCTCAGGCTCGCCCCAGAGCCCTGACTGTCCTGTGCTCCCCAGAGTCTGGGACGGCAGGACTGAGTCCAGTTCAGCCCCTGGGAACAAGCTCCAGCCTGAGACGTGGTCCTGATTTCAGTTTCAACCCCATGGGGAGGGTTCAATAAGCAAGAGAGCTCCTCTGTTCCCCCAGCCTGGCCCGGCATAAGTCTGGTCTCTTCTCGGGGGCCCTGCCTAACAAGGAACAGAGCACAGGGACCCATTTTACACAGAAAAACGTGGGTCTGGAGACCAAGACACAGGGTCCTGTTCTCTGAGACCCACTTCTCCCCCAGGAATCCCTCCAGGACTCTCCTTCTCCATCCCCAGGCAGGAACCAAAATGAACAGCAAGCTGCTCCCTGGTGGGTAGGGGCTGCTTAGGACTTTATTAACATCAGCAACATCCCCTGCCCACCATTGTCTACAGCCAGGATGCCCCCACTGCTCAGGACAGCCCCTGGTGGGTGGGGTGGTCTCCCCTTCCTCGTCAACGAGGCACCAAGGCCACTGGGCGGGTGCGTGGAGCTCCGGGTCCTGGGGTCACCTCGGGCCTCCGCACACGCTTCTTTCCTGTCTCCAGATCGACCTGTACGCGGGGGCCCTGTTTGTGCACATCTGCCTGGGCTGGAACTTCTATCTGTCCACCATCATCATGCTCGCCATCACGGCCCTTTACACCATAGCAGGTGCAGCGCCCGGGGACATGCAGGAAACCGGGAGGCTAGCCGGTGGGGGTTCAGGGCACCTCCTCCCATAGCCTGGGACCTGGCCGGTTTGAGCCAGGCACATGGGCCTCTGCAGCTGCTCAGCCAGCCTGGTTGCTGTGTACACCTATGCAAGGGCAAGGGGCACGGGTGTGGGACATCTATCCCTTCCAGAGCTCGGTTGCCTCCCCATTCCTCCCCCGTTGAGGCCAGGCCCCTCCAGCTCTGTCGTCTTCACTTGCAGGGGGCCTGACTGCTGTCATCTACACAGACGCCCTGCAGACACTTGTCATGGTGGTGGGGGCTGTGATCCTGATGATCAAAGGTGAGGGCCGTGGGCCTATCCAGTAGCAGGTCCCCCATGTCGGCACTGGGGGTGGGTGTCCCCACAAGGTCAGGCTGTGGGGCCCTCAGCCCCCTGCCAGCCTCCCCTGAGTGGCAGAAGCCTGTTCCCCTCTCATCCCAGCTGCCCTGTGGCACTTCTGTCACCAGCTCAAGCCGGCTGGGGTTTGGCTGCAGAGCTGACGCAGGAAGCAGGGCCATCCATGTCCACCCGGGCTCAGTTATGGGAGGTGGGGCTGTGGGTGGTGTGCAGACACCGCTGGGAGACCACGCACCTGCCTGGACATCTGCCCCCACTGTGTGAAACCTTGTACAAGACCCCAAGAAGTGCTGTGGCAGGCAGGACAAAGGCAGGGTGGGAAGAAGGGATTCAGACCAGCATCTCCTGGTCTGGGAACAGGGGTAAGCTTGGGGGCTGTCCCAGAGGTAGTGAGCTCCCCAACCTGGGAAGCATGCAAGCAGAGCCAGGAGGAGCCCATAGAGGGCAAACAGAGGCCTTTACAGTCTCTTCCAGACTCAGACCCTAGGACCCTTGTTTTGTGTCTGTACCTTTGTTCTGAGCGCTCACCTCAGCCTGGCCTGGGCTCCAGGTGGGAATGATGCTGGGGGCTGTGTGGAGGGGGTGGGAAGCAGGACCTGGGGCTGCCTGGGCTGTGCACCTGTCTCCTCACAGACCAGGGGCCTGTGTCTCCGGAGCCCACTACAGGAAAGGCACCTGGGCAGCCAGGCCCAGTCTGGTTAGGGGTGGTGGGGCAGTGATCACAGACAAAGCAAAAGCCACAGGCTTCCCTGGTGCCTCAGCTGGTAAAGAATCTGCCTGCAATGCAGGAGACCTGGGTTCAATCCCTGGGTTGGGAAGATCCCCTGGAGAAGGGAAAGGCTACCCACTCCAGTATTCTGGCCTGGAGAATTCCATGGACTGTAAAGAGTTGGGCACAACTGAGGGACTTTCACTTTTGGCCCAGACCCCAGAGCAGACAAAGAACAGTGAGCAGTGAATGTCATCTCAGCTCGGGCCAGCTGGCTGTCAGTGTGGCCTTGGTGGCTTCCCTGCCCTTTCGGGACCATTTCCCGTCTCAGAGCCACACCTTCCCTGCCCCCCAGCCACTCTCAGCTCCACCAAAGTCTCATCCTCTGGAAGCCCCTGGGTCAGGACATTACCCCTTCCAACTACTGGGGAAAGTCCTTGAGTGCCAAGGAAAAGACGCAGCTGCCTGCTCGAGTCGACAGTGAGCCTGGCGGGGGCCCCCTCCTGGCTGACGGGCATCTAGAGGCTGCAGGACATGGGGTGCCCATGTGCAAAATGTTTCTTTAATATTATTATTTTAAATACAAATAAAATAGTCTTTTGAATTCACTTTTTTTGAAAAACCCTCTATCTCCATACCTTTCCAGACACTGGGAAAGGTGAATGCAAAAAAGTTTTGAGTCTCCTATACCAGGGAGTTACTCGTGAGATGAGGGCAGTGGGGCCAGGAGTCACGGCCACCGGCCGCTGACCATCACCATCCCACTCACCCCTGCAGCTTTCGAGCAGATTGGCGGGTACGAGCAGCTGGCAGAGGCCTACGCCCGGGCCGTCCCATCCAGGACCATCTCCAATACCACCTGCCATGTGCCCCGGGCAGATGCCATGCACATGTTCCGAGACCCCTACACTGGGGACCTCCCGTGGACTGGGATGACCTTCGGCCTGACCATCATGGCCGCCTGGTACTGGTGCACGGACCAGGTGAGGGTTCACGGTGCCGCCCTCCCCCATTCCTGCCTTCCAGGGTCCCTGTAGAGGTGCGGGTGGCCCAGGAACCACTGCATGGCGAGCCCAGGCTGGGCAGAGGCCATGGACAGTGTGGCCCGGGCACGGGGTGCTAGGGGTCCTTGCGGTCCCGGGGGGTGTGGGCCCGCCTTTTAGAGTCAGATGGGGCCCACTGGCTGCCACCCGTCCTGGCCTTCAGGTGCTTCGACTGGGACAGTTTGGAGTAAGGGATTCCAAAGGGGCTGGGGTGTTCCTCGGTGGCCCTGCTGTTGGCCAGGGCACTGGCATTTCGGGCCGGCCTTGGGCTCGCAGGACCCGGCAGTAGGCGGGGCCCTGGGCCGCTCTTGGCCTGCCAGTGCTGGGGGCTTGCCACAGCCGGGCCTGCTTTCCTGCTGGAGCTCTCAGGGCCGTCGGCAGTGGGGCGGAACCGTGGGGGTCCCAGGGTCCTCAGTGGTCGCGGGAAGCCATCTTTCTCTCTGGTGCCCGAGGCAGGGCTTCCATAGTGGTGAAACCGCTGGCACTGGTGGAGAGAGAGTGGAGAGGTGAGACCCGGGGGCTGGAGGCAGCTCCATCCCTTCGTGAGGGCTCTGGCCTGCAGCGAGCATGCCTGGCTTTACTCCCTGGCCCTGCCCCCACCAGCTGGGCCTCCTGGACACGTTTCCTTCCTTCCTGTTTTTCCACAGGTACTACGGGAGTGATTCTGCCCTTGTGGTCACATCAAGGCCAGTGCCTGCTCCTCCCCGGGGCCCTGGCCACCTCCCCCATCTGTAAGGGGGCAGATGGGCCTCCACCAGGGCCAGGTCTCTGGTGCCTGGGGGCGGGGTCCTCCTTCCAAGCAGGCACCAGGTGGCCTCAGGGGGCCATGCTCCCTCCCTGGGCAGAAGCAGATAATGTCTTGCCTGCCTGAAGGCTGTGGGTACCTCCAGGCAGCACTTGGGTGGCAGGGGCCCTCAGGGGCACTGGCCTGACCACCATTCTTGATTCTGGACCCTCGGCCTGAGGACCCCACCCTGGGACTGAGGCTGCTTGGCCGAGAGTCAACCCAGCCAGTCACGGTAGAGCGAATGGGGACAGACTTCCTGTGAGGCGGGCCCAGCAGTCCCATCCACAGGACGGGACGCTGAGGCCAGGGTGGGTGCCAGCCAGTAAGGGGCACTCTGCATCTCCCAAGTGTAGGTGTTCCATGTGCTCGCCAGGAGACCCTGTCTGGGTTGTGACTGTGGGACACAATCCAGGTGGGAAGGGTCCTGGGCCAGTTTCCCCACCTGTGATAAGTGACATGGTAACATGTGACATGGTGATATGCTCAAGAGTCCCTGTAGGCTGTACCCACTGCAGGCGTCTGCCCAGCACCTGGGAGATCTGAGGCCCAGCCCAGGTGACTGAGGGTCTGGATGAAAGGCCAGCAGTGGAGGGTGGGCAGGGGGTGCCTGGCAGCCCCGTGGACCAGTCGGAGCCCCTTCCTCACCAGGCACCTTTCATTCCCTCCCCACTTAGCATGGGCCTGGCATGGCCCTGTGTCCAGGGCTGGACAGCATTCAGGAGATTTTCCCATGAAGGCCGAGTGAGTCAGCACACAGCCTGGCCTGGAGGTCAGGTTGGATCGGCCTCCTTCGTGGATAAGGTCACATGGGAAGGCAGAGGCACTGCTGACCCCATGGGGGTCCAGAGTGTCAGGAGCTTGGGGCCATGTCTGGCCTCAGCCCAACCTCCCTGTCCCCCTCCTGCCCAGGCTGGGTCTACCCGAGGAACCGCTGGGCCTCGGACCAGATCCCCCACCACGCAGGTACCAGTCCACTGGGTCCTACTCAGCCCCTGATCCAGGCAGCCCCACGGTGTGATCAGCGCCACGTAGCAGCTCTGTGTGCTGGGGCCATGAGTGCTTTTCACCTTCTTCAGACATTTCAGTGTCTCCCAGCTCAGCCACAGCATGTAGGTGACGCACAGAACCCAACAAAGCCAATGAAATAGGAGGTGGGGGCCGGCCAGGCACTGGGCTCCTGTCTGGGGGCTGCCGTACCCTCCCGCTGCAGCTGCTCATCTGCACAGCGGAGAGGCGCACGGACAGGAAGGACCCCAGGCCTGCCCGCTCCGGCGGTGCTGGAGCACACTTGGTCTCCTGTCGCAGCTGCAGTTTCAGACAGACCATCCTTCTCGGGCAGCAGCTGGGTCTGTCCGCAGCGACCACAACCCTCAGGATCTGCTGCAGACTGGGTGTCATGTTGAGTGTACAGCCCCCGTCACCTCCTGTCACCCCCGTTCCCACGAGCTCCTCTCTTGTCCCCTTCTCACAGCCGAGCGTCTAAACGCTCCTAGGCCGGCACAGGGCCACGGGTGACCCTGCGATGACCCTGATGGACGCCCGCCCTCCATGACTTGCCGCCAGTCAGCCAGACCTGGGCTTGGCAGTCCACATGCAGCCTCATCCAGGCTGTGCAACAATCCTGAGGGTCAGGGGTCACATCCCACCTTGCAGACGAGGACACAGCACTTCCCGGGAGGTCCCATGGCTGAGCAGGAGGAGGGAGTGGCCTCAGGCAGGGCCCATGTGGCAACAGTGCTGACGCTGCCGGGGCCGGGGTGGTGGTCCTGGCCTGGCCTGCGGGGGCACCACTTCTCCAACTGCGGAGTGGGGCAACCACGACTGTCCTGCTCCTGCCCCAGGCCTGGCCACCGAGAGCATATGGAGTGAAATCACAGAAGACGGCAGGGATTCAGGGAAAGCCTCCTTTGAGGAGTGCAGCCCCAGCTCTCGTAATCACAGGACATCGAGGGGAGGGTCTACAGAGAACCACAGCTCACCCCTCACTGCAGACAGGGAAACTGAGGCCCAAAGTGAGGAGTGGACTGTCCCAAGTTAGAGCTGGTGGAGAGGAGGTGGAACCAGCCTGCCCTGCAGCCCCTGCGCTGCCAGCCTGGCACCGGCCATGTTTTAAGAAAAGCAAAGGCAGTTTATTCTGAACTGCAGCAGGGGAGGTGGCTCCCGTCCCTCACATTTGGCAGAAGCTCAAAGGCAAGCAGAGGAGGGGGAACCTCTGCAGAGGTACAGAGGGGAGGCTGGGGGTGGGGGTGGGGGAACTGACGGGAGGCCACCAGCCTGGGGACACAGGAGGCAGGGACTCAAACTGGGCGCCCGTGAGAATGGTCAGGGTCGGGGGACGAGTTGGAGACAACAGTTAGAGAAGCTGCCAGTATTAATTAGGTCCTGGTCACCTGGGGCTGATCGTTACAAAGTCACCCTGCAGCTTCCTGGGCGGGTGCTGCAAACAGCTATCTGCCTTCCTGCCTGGCTCTGAGAGAGATCAGGGCAGAGGTTTCCCAGGCAGGTTGCCACGGGTTGTGGATCAGAGTACTATATTTTTTTTCTATTGGTTGAGCCACAAGGCTTGTGGGATCTTAGTTCCCCAGCCAGGGACTGAAGCCAGCGCTAACCACTGAACCACCAGGGAAGTCCCAAAGTTCTATTTCTGTATGCAGCTCAGCCACCATCCATGTGCTGTTCAGTCTGCATGGGATGGGCTTCCACAGTTAGTATGTGTGAGTATGCCTCATAGGACATGCTTTTGCTTTTATCTTGAGGTGACTATAACAAGAAAATTGCACCGAAGCCAAAATTTTCAGGAATCACCATCTCTGATCCAGACCTCCTTTATCGAGCAAGTTTACAATCTTCAGGGCATTTTCTGAGACACTTAGAGGGACCTCTGAAGAAGCTCATGACAGTTTCTCTTAAGGTGCCAAACCCAAATGGGCACCTAAAGGCCTCAAGGATGAACACTTGCCATTTCTAGCCTTTAGAAAATCCACTTTTGTCAAAGCAAAGGTTTACCCTAAAACAAAGGCTGTGTCCACACCTATGCACAACCCTGTGATTCTGCACTTGCTCCCCAGGATGTTAACTGTCCCCAAGCAGCAGACATTAGATCAAGTAAGGAACAGTAGGCGCCTAACTACTAGGTACTTAATACCTTCACCCAAGCAAGAACCCGGGGAAAGATGGAGAAAGATTGCATCAAGGAAGCACCTGAGGTCCTTGGTGAAGAACAGGCTACAGGGGCTTCCCTGCTGGCCAGTGGTTAGGAATCCACCTGCCAATGCAGGAGACATGGGTTTAATCCCTGGTCCAGGAAGATCCCACATGCTGTGGAGCAACTAAGCTTGTGCCTGAGGCCCATGCACTTAGAGCCTGTGCTCCACAACAGGAGTAGCCCCCGTCTCGCTGCAACTAGAGAAAACCCAAGCATAGCAACGAAGACCCAGCACAGCCAAAGATAAAAAAAAACCAAAAAAACAGTCTGCAAGCCTCTATTTCCCATGTGTGTCCTTCCTGCTCCTTTGCTTTGATGTAAACATAGGTAATTTTCTTCAGTTGATGAAAAGGTGCTGGAGGATGAGCCAGGGAGGGTGGAGTCACCAAGTGAACCCAAGGAATGTTCTAGTAGATTCCATTGACTGCACCCTTAAAGCTTTGAAAATTGCTCTGTCCCTGCCTGATTTAGCAAGAAAACATCTATTTTAGAGCTCTCCCTGACTGGGACCCTGTAATTAATTGCTTCACCAACAGCCATGTCAGAGGGAACTGCTAGGAGCTACTTGTCAAACTCGCGTGTTTGGGAAATAAGTGAAAATCACAAAGAATTTCTACTTCTGAACTGCAGGAAGTGGTTTAAACTGCAGAACAGCAACTGAAAAATACTTGCATTTAAAAGTTTAGACTGCACAACTGGGAACATACTAGAAACCACGGAGCTGTATGCTTTACGTGGCTGAACTGTGTGTGAATCATATCTCGGTAAAGCTGTTTAAAGCCCCATGTTCTTAAAAGTAGAGTCGTGGTGTCAGAACTGAGAGGATCTCAGGTGCCATCAGTTCCGACTCCCCCCTCCCATTCTGCAGATCTGGAAATTGAGGCCCAGATAGGCGTCGCCTGCGGCTGCATGAGGAATTACCCTCATATTGCAGCTTCTAGCTCCTTCCACAACTGACATGCGAGCTTCCCCAAACCCAGGTCCTAAAGCTCCAGACCTCTGCCTGGGACACAAGACACAGCTGGAACCAGTGTCTACTCTTGACACGTGCATTAGCTTGCCGGCCTCTCGTGACAGTGCAGGAGGTGGCGAGAGGGTGGTGGGGGTTGGTCCCTGACATCTCTCCATGGTTTTCTCCAGCCCTCACAACTGCCGGGGTGACAGGCTGGGCAGGACCAACACTCCTCTGTTTGACAGATGGGAAGACTGAGTCCTGGAGAGAACCTGGGCCCCAGATGCTCAGACAACCAGCAGGGGTGCTGTCGGGGGTCGGGGAGGGCGCATCCAGGGCTGACAGGTCAGCTTCTATCTCACACACTCCCTGAGCCCCGCGGAGGAGGAATCTGGGGCAGTTGGGACTCACCCCTTCCCCTGCCCCCAGGTCATCGTGCAGCGGTCACTGTCCGCCCGGGACCTGAACCACGCCAAGGGGGGCTCCATCCTGGCCAGCTATCTCAAGATGTTGCCCATGGGTCTGATCGTCATGCCAGGCATGATCAGCCGCGTGTTGTTCCCAGGTAGGACACGCTCCGGGGCCGGGGTTGCAGGATGTGGAGGGCGCCAGGAGGAGGGGCCAAGGACAGGCAAGCTGTTTCCTGGCCTGGGGGAGCAGGGAGGGACATGGTCCCCGGGCCACAGTCAAAGGGATCCACATGGAGGTAGCTGGATATGAGGTCTGGGCAAAGGCCACCTACTGCTGTGTGACCTCGGGGTGTGAAGGAACACCTCTGTGCACCGCCATGCCCTCATCACAAACTCGGGAGCAGACCACCCGTGTGACCCTGCACACTTGTCACCTCTGGGCCTGCTACATGTGTCTTCTTCTGGCTCCTGTTCCCTGGCTCAGGCTGCTTCTATGGGACACTGGGTAGTGACCTGCAGCATGTAAGCCCTGCCTGGTTGCTACCACCCCCCCACCATGAGATTTCCCCATAACACAGAAAGCCATCAGCACCAGGGATGCCCAGCAGGTGGCACCTGTGTGCTCAGTCCTGGGGCTGGGGCTCCCAGGATCCCAACCCACCTGTGCCTCCTGGTCCACAGGGCGTGCAGCCTGCATTCTCCTCTGGGTGCCCGCCTCTTCTCTCTCTTGACCCTGGGCCCATGAGGAGCCACTAAGGGCTCCGCCGAAGGTTCCACGGGTCATGTGGGGGGCGCTCAGCTGTCGGCGGGGGGGCTGGGCCGGCCCGTTGGCCACCTGCTCCGAGTGGCGCCTCCGGAGACAGGCCGAGCGATCCGTCACCTCGAAATACTCGTCTGACACGGAGGAGGAGGCCAGTGAGGCCCGCCGGGGGCCAGGGCCATGGTCAGAGCTGCCTGAGAGGCTGTCTTGGTCACTAAGGGTCACGTAGTCATCGTCGTCTTCCTCCTCCTCCCCGTCCAGCCCGTTGGGGACCACCTGCCCCCCACCACTGGGGTCATCCGGGGTCACAGATAGTTGCCGCTGAAGCGCGGCGTGGCCTGGGCCTGCCGTCCTGGGCAGCCCGTGGTCCGTCCCGTTGTGGGGTGATTCCTGCTCTGGAGTCTCCAGGGCCCAGTCAGCACCACCGCCCTCCTGGGCGAGCACGTCTGCCACTGGGACCGTCCGGGGCTTGGGCACAGGCGGCCGTGGCTGGGCGTCCCCCTGGGGGAGGCTGTTCTCGGCAGGGATGCTGTCTGGTGAGGCGCTGGACTGGAGGGTGGGGCCGGGGTCCTGGCTCTGCCTCCACAGCTGAGTCCCTGCCTGGGACGTGTCTCGGATCTTGATACGGTTCATCTGACTAGGCTGGGGGTTCCAGATGTTGGGGTCGATAATGTTAATGTATCCCAGGATGTCACTGCCAGGTTCGGGGTCGGGCTCCACCCATGTGGGCAGGTAGTCGAACATGTTGGCCCGCTCCAGGTTGAGCAGCCCTGGGTGCATGGGCAGGGGAGGCTCAGGGAGGTCTCCCGGGCGCTCAGCAAGGGCCACGCCCTGCACCCCCGCAGGCTTCGTAGTGTCCTGCTTCTCGGACGATGACTTGGCGATCTCGTCGGCGCTCTTGGCCTTGACCAATGCGTACTTGGGGTTGACGAGCTTCTTGGCCATGGTTCCCGACGGCACCAGCGGGACCGAGGGGGGCAGCACAATGGGCTCAGGCTCAGGCTCCTTCTCCATGGGGATGTCCTTGAGGCTGACGCTGTGTGACATGAGGTACAGCTCCTGGAACTGCCGGTCGAACATCTCCACCACCTGGCCCGACAGCACGGAGATCACGTTCCGATCCGTCCTGGCGGCCGACCACGTGAAGCTGCAACACAGGACGGCAGCCTGCTCAGGTGTGGGGTCTCCCCCGCCCCAGTGCACCCAGAGGCCAGTGTCCATCAGACTGCAGCCACAGGAGGCTTTTGGGAGAAGGGAGCAGAGGCAGGGGCGGGCTGGAGCCCCAGGGTCAGGCCTGGCGCAGGGCCTCAGGCAGCCCCATGCACCAAGCCCTTCCTGGGGGTGCGGCCTGGACAGGGTGTGGCGTCCAGCACAGTAACTTGTGCCACCATCAGTATCTGCTCGCCCACCCTGTGTGGCCGTGGGCAACCCCCACCCAGCCCCCTACCCCTGCTTGATGAACCCAGTCGAGCTGGGCCCCGCCAGCCTCATCCCGCCCCCACCCTTGAGCGGCTCTTAGAGTGACCACCCTGTGAGCCCTGCCCACACTCCACCTCCGGGCTGCTGACACCTTGAGGCTGGAACAACAGTCTGGTGGAGGAAAGCGTCACTCTGCCTGCTTCTGAGACGGGCAGGTGGCGTGCAGGCGGGCCCAGCACCACTCACACCTCAGCAGTTTGGGGACCAGTGAACCAGAATAACCGGGGTGTCATAGGCAGGATTAAGGGCAGAAACCAGCTGGGAACTGGAGCCGCCTCTCCCCCACCCCCCAGAAAGCCAGAGTCACCTGTAGGAGCCACAGATGGCCCGGTCGCCGTCCACGAACATGAACTTCTGGGCCAAGGCGCCCTTGAACTTGGTGGCCGACCGCGTGAAGAACTCGGTTCCTCCACTGCTCCGCACCCTGAGATTCTGGGTTGGAGATAGGAGACGGAATTACATGACCCAGCACTGAGCACCCTACCTGGGCCTGGGGAGGGATCCAGGCGAGCGTGGACAGGAAGGATAAGACAGAGGGAGGGCCTAGAGAAAGGGGTGGTGCATGTGTGGGTCCTGGCCAAGGTGGGTAGGGGAGGCAGGTCCAGCCTGGGGAATGCTACTGCAGGTCTCCAGCAGGAGGGGGAGGTGGACATGTTTCAGGAAGGTCCAGCAGATGGCTGGGGGCTGTGCAGTGGGGTACGGGGCTGCCCTGAGGGACCTGGGTCCTGCACTTGGACAGATCTGTGGCCTTCTCAGCATGGGTGACCACCGTGCCCACCCCCCCCCACCCCCATCTCCCTGTCACCACGGTGTCCCTGTTCCCTGAGCCCTGCAAGCAGGGATCCTGGCAACCTCACCCTCTTCCCGCAGAGCCAACCCCCTGCCTGGTTCCCAGGGCGGTTCAGGAAATGGCCATATCCCCCCTTGCTGGGCCAGCATGGTCAGCTCAGGAGCTGGTCAGAGAGGTCCCAAGAAACCACGGAAAGGGAGCCAAGACACAGGAAGTAGAGGATCTCCCAGGCGTCAGAGGCAGACCTGGTCCAGCCCAGCCCCGTCAAGGCTAGATTCCTTCTGCCTTTCTCTGGGCATCAGAGCCCTCCCTCTCTGCAAGTCTGTAGATGTGCCGGGATCTGGGGACAGGCTCCCCTCCTGTCAGGAGAGCTTCCTGTTTGGAGGGAGGGGCAGGCATGAAAGCCCAGTGGTGGGGGGACCCCAGGGTGGGCAGGGCAGGCCTGGCTGAGACCTGGGGGTTGAGAGGACACCTGAGGGCACCCTGACGTGAAACCTCAGGGCAAGAGGCAGACGGGCTCAGGGGGTGCAAGTGTCGCCCAGCTCGCGACTGCCCCAGCTCCCACTCTGGAGGACTGAGCTTAGGAACTCCATTTTTAACACAAGCCCCAGAGAACCTGAGCCTGAAATCCTTTGCGTGCCCAGGTGACAGGGTTCTTATTCCCTCCGGGGGCCCCTGTGCTCACCGAGGGTGCTGGCCTGTCACACCTTCTGCAACACCCCCATCTGTCGCCCTCGCATACTAAGTCATTCACTGATCCTTGCCGAGGTCCCCAGCCCACAAAGGGGTGACCGTGACAACGACCCCACACTGGAGACAGGGGAGCAGATAGGTAATGACCTTGGCTGTGGGCAGCCTCCTGAGAAGGCTGGCATCCAGGCTGACGTGTGACAGATGAGGAAGTGCTGGTCAGGGTGGGCAGAGGGTGTGGCACCCCAGACTCAGGACGACAAAGGCCTGACTGAGAACCGGGAGGACTTTGGGGGAGAAGGGTGGGCTACGGAGCCTGTAGAGTGGGCCCAGCCAGATGTTGATGAAAGACCCTATGGGGCAGTAGGGAGCCATGGAGGAATGTGAGCAGGGAACAATGGGGGGGAGCCATCCAGGAAGAATGCACGCATTCACAGGTCGCAAAGGCTGACACTGGGGGCGGGGTTCTGTGCCTGAGGGAGGTGGGCCTGAGGCTGGCTGGACGAAAGAACTGGAGGCTGTCTCCACTCCTGCCCTCGGCCCTGGTACTCCATGTCTGTCCCTTCTGTGGCGGGTCACAGACCCCTCTCCTGGGGTACCCCAGGGTAGGACCCACAAAGGTTGAGGGGCAGGTTCCAGGGATGCCCGCCTGGCTGTGCGGCCCAGCCCAGAAGGCAGATAAACCTCTGCTCCCAGGCTGGCTTCCCCCACTGCTTGTCTGCACACAGCCAGCTCAGCAGGAAGCTGGCTGCGGCCCAGGACAATTAGTGCCCGTGACTTTGTACCAAACACGAAACAGGCTCGGGGACCAGAAGTCTGAACAAAGCTCCTGGAGGCGGTGTGAGGCCTTCCCCTGTCACCTGTGCCTGACCGCAGCCCTGCTCCACAGCTTCTGTGGGTTCCTGGCCCAGAGCTTGGCGCAGTCAGGCCGCAGCTTCTCCTCAGCCTTCAAGGACGGCCCCGAGCCAGGACTCCCCTCCCACCAGTATCTGCCCCCACCCTCCCCAAAGCTTGTCCCTTGAAGGGCTCAGAAGGTCACCACCTACAGCTCAGAGTGACTCAATCCTTGGGGGAGGCAGGCCTCAGCTTTGCCCGATGCTCTGTGTGACTCTAAGTGACTCTCTGGCCCTCTCTGGGCCTTAGTTTCCCTGACTGTGTGATGGGAGCCTGGCCAACCACTCCAGGCCTGTCCAGCCCTGGGGCCCAGCAGCAGGCAGGGGCTTGTGGTGGCTCCCCCCATGGCAGCGCCTGGCTGTTTGGTGCTGGGTGGGGGTGGGTCTGGTCCCACCCCGTGGGGCCGGGCCCAGATGAGGTAACGTCTCAGGAGCCAGGGCTCGGGTGAGCAGAGGTGGAGGATCCACAAAGCCGCGTTGTCTCTGAGCCTGGGATGCTCCCAGCAGAGCACACAGCAGGCGGGGGACACAAATGGGTTGCCCTGGCCCTGGGTGATCCCCAGATCCTCGGGAGCCTGTTTCCTGATACGTGCTGGGGCAGTGATGGCTGGGCAGAGCTTCATCCACTCCGGGTGCCACCGCCCGAAGGGTGGATGGACGGGGCAGGGCACAAGGGCTCCATGGAGTCTCCTGTGTACACATGGGACTGGTGGAAGGTGGGGGGACCATCCCAGACCCCCCCTCCCTGAGCAAGTGGGTCATTCTTGAGCTCTGGTCAAACACAGCCCCAGTCCTGGTGCGAAGGGAATGCAAGCTGGCCTCCCCCTGCCTCAGTGTTCTCATCTGTGAAATGGGCCTGTCCATCCCCTGCTTCAGTGCTGCTGTGAAGATTGAGTGCATCGGGGGAGGGCTAGGTGCTCAGCGGCTGCTCCCTAAACTGGAGGGGACAACGGGGGCTGTGCCATGCAGCGCGATGGGAGTGGCATCTCCCTGCTCTCTCCCTCCCACTCAGAGAGCAGAAGGGTGAGGGACACAGAGGAATGGAAAACATCTGGAACGGTGTGGACTCGGGCCCAGGGAGGCTGGGATGCTTGGCCATATGCAATGGTCAGGTGGCTCAGGGAGCAGACTGATTTGCCCAAGGCCTCCAAGTGGACAGGGTCCAGCCCCCAGGGACTGAGGACAGCCCACACCTGCACCCTGGCAGCTCTTTCATCCTCCAGGCCCTGCTGGTACCTTCTGGGTCGGAGGAGGCATGGGGAGGTCCAGAGACCACTCGGAGCAGGCCTGACGGGTGACAGCAAGTTCAGGCCAGGTTGGGGACAGACAGCTGTGTCCTGTGTGCCTTCTTCTAAAGGGTCTGTTTTATGGGGCAGGGGGCACCAACACTCCCCCTGGCATCCCCCAGGAATAGCGAAGCTGGGATGGGACGCACCCTTGGGGGCAGGGGACAGAGCAGGAGTGGGGCGCTCCTAGCTCCTCCCTGGGGCCAAGCTGACTGGCTTGGTGACATTCTGGGCCAGGTGGTTCTCTGTTGGGGGCTGTCCTGCGATCGCTGAGCAGCATCCCTGGCTGCCACCTGCAAGATGCATGTACCACAGTGCCCTCCAGGTCACAGCCAGCAAAAAGTGCCCTGAGTCCACTGCAGAGCCAGGGTCCAAGAAGGCAGGTCAGAAGAAGGGGAGCCCCAAGTACCAGAAGAGGGCGGGGACCAACCTGTCCAGGAGGAGCTGGAATCCGTACATCCTCACCTGGCACCTTCCCACGGCCATCCTGCCTGGGATTCCTTTGTTCCTCAGAAATGGGTCCAGCCTTTGCCTGGGCGGCTGCTGGTTTTTCCAGTTCAGCTGCACAAAGCCAGCTAGCTTTTCCAAGCAGCCAGGCATCTCACAGCTCTGGTGCCATCCTCAGTGGTGACTCAAGGCCTGGCTCCCTGGCCCGGGTACCCCCCAGCACCGAGTCACCCTATATGTGCCCAGCCCTGGGCCTGGGGTCGTCTTCTCGAGGCCTGTTGCCATGTGTAGCGTAGGCACTTGTGCCCACGTTCCCTGGGCCTGGGAGTCAGGGCCCAGCTGAGCAGGCAGGCGGGGGTCTGGGGACAGCTGGGAGCCTCAGGCTGGGGCCAACCCTCCCACCTCCCAGGAGTGGGCTGAGTCCAAGCAATACTGCAGCTGTTTTCAGACTGTGTTGTCAGCTCAGGGGTTCGGCTGGGGGGCTGCCCTGAGAGGGAGACGTGAGGGGTCACTGGCCAGACCACAGCTCAGAGGGGCGCGGGGAGCCCCATGGCACTCACACCAGAGCTGGGCCCACGGCTGCCCCAGTGCCCTGCCCCCATAGGCCTACCTAACTCTTCATGGAAGCCCTGCCAAATAAGTGACAACATTCCCAATTTTCGACAAAAAGACTGAGGCCCAGAGACCTCAGTGTCTCTGCCCAAGGTTACAGTGCTGAGGGCAGAGCTGCAGCCCAGGCCTGGCTCCTGGTGTTGCCCCCAGACTGGTGCCCAGCACCACCATGGTCCTGAGTATGACCCTAGCAGGGACAACCTGCACCCTGGGTCCCATGACCGGAGGGCAGGTCACTGCAGAGTTGGGCAGGGGCGGCAGGCCCGAGGGCGGGCCCCAGGATTACCGGCAAAGGAAGTGCTCCTGGGACAGGTCTGGGCCCAGCCAGCCTGCAGGCAGGGAGGCAGGCTCTCAACAAGGTGACACTGGGCCAGGGCTGGGCCCACAGGAGCCTCTGGCTACCTGCCCGGGCTGGGAGGGGGTGGACTCAGAGGGGAGAACGAGGCGGCCAGGGTCACACATTCCTTCCGGTGAAGATACCCAGTCGACCCACGGCGTCTAGCTCCCGAGTGTGTCATCCTGTGGACTCGCCACCTTCTGCAGAGCAGGGAGGGGTGAGTGGGGCAGGCTGGGCCACGCTCTGGGATGGAGCCTCATTCCCAGCCTCCTGCCCTCGGCCCAGGGCCCGGGGTTTGTAACTCCAGTTGCTGCCGCAGCCATGTGCTTACCCGTCGCTCAGAGCCCCTTCAGAGCAATCATTCATCTGCTTTCACCCTCAAACTACCCAATGAGGCGTCCTGGTGGCCACGGAGCCCTGGAGGCTCAGGAAGGTGGGCCCCGCGCCAGGAGGTCGGCAGCCAGGAAGCCCGCGTGGCCAAAACCAGGGTGACCCCACTGCCAGGTACAGCCTCAGTCCAGGACGCTGGGCACCAAGGGCGTGTGGCCCTGTCTGCGCCGACCTCCCATCACTGGCTTTTAAGGTCAACTCCAACTTGGTGGAACACCTCTGGGCAAGTCACAGGCTCCCTCTGGCCTCAGTTTCTCTGAGCATCCTGGGAAGCCTGGTCTGGATGGCCTGCCCCACTTGCCCACTTCCGGGAGCTACAGACACTTCCAGGAACCTACGTCTAGGGTTTCCCTGCTGAAAGAGCAGGGGCACTAGAGCCTCTGCACGGACTAGCCTCCTCCCCCTTTCTTCATCTGTATGTGGAGGGGGGGTACTCAGAGGGTAGACAGCTGTGATGTGTTCAGGGTCCCTGCTGGGCATGGGGCAGGGGTGCAGCAGGAGGGGGCCGGTTGGCCTCTGAGCACGGGAGTGGGCTGGACGAGGCTCTGTGATCTGCTGCCCACAGGACAAGGCCCCTGCGGTCACCTTTCAGAAGCCACCTCCTCCACACTCTAGTCCTCCCAGCCTGAGCTGTCCGCCCCGGGAGTTGGCTCTCAGTGCTAATTACACAGCAGGCAGAACAGCGGGCCAACCCACCAGCAAGACCACATAAAAATGTCCCAACAGCCAGAGACTCGCACTGCCCGGAGAGCTCACACCCACTTGAAAGGACTCAGCTGAGACCAGGGTCACTGGACAAAGCCGACTAATTATGGGCGCTGGAGCCCAGCCCCTTGTTAAGCGGGCTGGCATTGCCCAAGGCGTTCTGACCCATCGGAAGCTATGCTCAGCCAGAGGGCTTGTGCTGGCCCTGCACCTATGCCTTGCTTACCGGCAGGGGTGACACCTGGCAGTCCCTACATCCCTGATTGGTAACATGGAACAGCCACCCCTCCTGCCGGCTGCTGAGCAGGGGGCCTAGTAACCATATCAAGGGCCCAGGATGAGGGCTGTGACAGCATCCTGTGTCATTGGTCTATACCCTGGGGAGTGAGCTGCACACAGGTGCCAAGCAATGGCTCCCTCCACCCCCAAAGTGTTCATCGCTAAGTGATGTCTGACTCTTGTGACCCCATGGACTGTAACTTACCAGGCTCCTCTGTCCATGAGATTCTACAGGGAAAAATACTAGAGTGGGTTGCCATTCCCTTTTCCAGGGGATCTTCCTGACCCAGGGATTGAACCCGGGTGTCCCACATTGCAGGCAAATTCTTTACTGTCTGAATCACCAGGAAGGCCCCAAGTAAGGCACCAGATGCCCAGGTGTCTGAACAGAAGGGCCCGGCCACAGGGACCATCGACCCCTCCATAGGACCACTGAGATCCTGGAGTCCAGAGAGGGAAGGTCACGTGCTCCAAGCCACACACAGCAAAGCAGTGCTGGGAACCCAGGCCCAACCTGAAAATTCCGCCTCCATCTCTGGTGTCACTCCCTGGAAGGCCCTTTCTATTCCACTGGCTCCTCAAGTCAGTTTCAACTCTGCAGCCTCCAAGGAAGCCCTCCCTGATCTCAACCCAAGGAAGCTTCCTCTGTTGGGTCTTAAAGACTATGAGTGGATGTGATGTGGAGACAGACTTGGGCTTAGGACTTCCTGAATTGAAGCTCTCTAGCTGGGGTGTGAGCTGCCAGAGCCGAGGGGTGAGCACCCTGTCACTGGAGGTGAGCAAGCAGACAGACAACCACTATGGCATGGGCTGATTTGAGACGCTGGTGAAGGAGCACCTCACGTGGGCTTTGACACCTGGTGGCAGGTAGTGTCCTGTCCCCAGGGCACTGAAGCAGAGGCCACGTGACCACTTGGTGGGCGGCCCTAGACACAGAACTCTACGGGCTCGCCCCAACCCACATGGCAGGTGCTCCAAGAATTTGTCAACAAACTGAAAGACTGGCTAGCTCACCTTGAGGTGTCCCAGGTGCATGCGGGCCCGCTCACACATATGCAGGAAGTACTTGACGTTGCTCTCGTCCACAATGATGTACACAGCCACCTTCCTCTTGAAGCCAGCGTCCAGCAGGTCCTTGAAGATGTCCACATCGGTGAACATGTCCATGACCACAGCAATCACCTGTGGACAGGAAGGGAGACCGTCAGGCAATGTAGCCAGGAGGACAGGTGCCTCCATGCCCTCCACCCTCTCCCACACCTGCCCACTCTGGCTCTGCTCCCTGCAGCCTTGGCTCTCCTGGCCCTGAGGCTGCAGGCGTAGGACTGGCACTCAGGGTGCGAGATGCCTAGTGGGTGGCACAGGCTGGACTCTCTGGACAGGAGGGAATGGAGGCAGGCCCAGTCCACAGGCCTGCCTTTTCCAGAACACAAGACCACAGAAAACCAAGCCCAGTGACTGGGAGGTGAGGAATGTAGAGGGAAGGGGAAGGTGCTGAGGAGCCCAGAGGAGCTGACTCAAGGTCCCACAGTGGGAAGAGGGCAAGTGCTGGGGTTGAAGCCCCGGCAGCCCCCCCAAACCTGGCTCAGAGCTCGGTCCTGTTTCCCCTCCCGGGCTGCTTTCCCAAGGCAGGCAGGCCATGCCACACCTTCTGCCCGCCACCCCGGGAAGCTGAGATGAGCCAGATGTGTCAGCACCAGGGAGGAAGGCGGGGGCTGCGGCCGCCCACCCGTCATTGGTCCCTGGACAGGCTCCCTCCCCACCACTTGTCTGGTTTGGACAGAGTCCAGAGTATGTGTGCTCTTCCTGTCCTCTGACCACATATGTGCCACAGCAGCAGACCTCAGCCTCGGGACTGGCTCTGGGTGGGACCAAGAGGTCAGAGTGCACCCAGCCCAGTCCAGCCGAGACACACCCAGGCCTGACGTGCAGGGGCCCTGGCAGTGCAGGGCCAAGGAGTGGGATGGTCAGCAGGTGCCGGGCCTGGCAGGGCTCAGTGGCCAGCAGGCTCTGCACTCAGTCTCTCTCCTTTGCCCTCCCCACCCCACTGGGCAGCAAGGGAAACACAGCAGACCAGGGCCCAATGCCGCTGCGCCCTCCCACCCACTAAGGCCAGTGCCACAGCTCCACCCTGGATCTGAGAGCCCCCTGGAAGAGTCTTCCATCAAAAGGCAGGCAGGGTTGTTTGCTAGGCCGCACAGTGAGCTAGGCACAGACAGGCTCAAACCACCCAGGCCCAGAGGAGCCAGGGTTCCCCCACCCCTGCCAGGAGGGTGACCTGGCAGGTGGCCCAGGGCCTGCTGGAGATGTGCCCGCATACTCTTGTGAGCTCATGCGGCCCCTGCAGGCCCAGTGGGGCTCCTCCCGGGCCCCGGGCCCCTGCTGACGCTGGTCACATGTCTGCACCAGAGCCGGTACTTCTGGGGGCCCCTCCCAGCCCTGCCCTCTCTGAACAGACACGCAGTCTCCTCACATGGGCCCAGCCAGGGCTCCTGGGGGACCACAGCTCGCCATCTGAGTCCCGCAGGGGTGTTGCAGACAGGGCCGGAAAGCAAACAGTCTGTGCAGGGCTGGGAGGCCACAGGGCGGTGGCAGCACCAGCTGAGGGACATGCCTTCTGACCCCGAATAGGCTGGGGTCTTGAGAGGAAGTGAGCACCCCGTCCCTGGACATGTGCAGAGGCCAGAGACTGCTTGAGGGGGTGGACAAGAGGACAGATGGGACACGGCATCAGAGCTGATGGGCTCAGCACACCCTTGGGCTCCACCCGTCGAGGGTGATGGGACCCAGGGTGGAGTAGGGGTGGCAGCAGGGACCCTCTCGCCTGGCCACCCCCACCCCTACCCCACGGTGACTCTAGCCCTTCTGCAGGCACAGCCTCACATGCCAGCCTGGGGAGGGCTCCGCTGACACACTGCTCCCGGAGCAGGCCCAGGTCCAGGCTCTGCCAACCGTGCCAGATGGGGACGTGCCCTGGGCCCGGGCTGGGGGACATGGCCCAGCAAGACCCACCCCACATGCGCCTTCCCCACCACACCCGGGCAGGCAGGTGCCCGGTCTAGGCCACCTGCTGTCAGGCTGGGTCTGCTGGGGCCTGCCCCTCTCTCCCCAGTGGAGCCCATGGGGTCCCAGACATTGGGCTCAGTGCCAGGGGTCAAAGGAGGACTTGTACAGGTGCCAGTGGCACTGGAGAGGGGTGTTGGTGCTCGGGAAGGTGGGGTCTGAGGCTTGTCCATGGGGGCCACCATGTTTCTCAGAGGCCTGGAGACCTGAGTGCCCGTCCCTGGGGCCAGAGACTCTAGATGAGAACCTGGGGCCCTGTGCCCCGCCTGAAGCAACTTCTGCCTGACAACCGCTACCTCGTCCAGTCTTCAGACATGCTGAGAGGCACGGGTCATTGCCCCCATAATACAGATGAGGACACTGAGGCACAGAGGCACTCTCTCACTTGCCTAACGACCTGCCTGGGTGGCCTGGCAGAGAGGTGGAGCTCTGGACCCCAGCCTGCCATCCAGGATGGGTGAGCTGCAGCCTCTCTGGGTCTCAGTTTCCTCATCTGTGAAATGGGGACAATGGTGGGCATGATGCCCAAGGCTGTGACTGCAGAGCAACCCCCAAGTTCCTATGCCCGGTCTGGGTGCCCCACATAGCCTGTCCGGGCAGGCCGCAGCCTCTTGCTGTATCCACGGGTTCTGAGAGGCAGCTCTGACCACCACTGCCCCACCTCCCTCTAGCTACCAGCTCCGGGCTCCTGCCTCGCCAGGCTGACTCTCAGCCTGAGGCTTCCGGCACCCCTGCCACTGCTCGTGAGACCCCACCCCTGTGAACCCCTTTTGGGGCAGAGGTGCACTGTGGGCAGGGAAGGGCAGGGGAGAAGGGGCAGTGGTGAGACAACCTGGGGTCCCCATGCCACTGGAAGACTATAGCCCAGCCTCTGAGCATCTCTCCCCAGAGGCCCAGAAGCCACAGGGGCTCTGACTCCACCGACTCCTCCCTTCACACCCCAGACCTCACCTCAGCCATGTCCACCGTCCTCCTGACCAGGCGCCTTCCCCTCCTCCTCCACACCGGTAATACCTTCCCATCCTTCAAACCCTGACTCAAAGGCTGCCGTGAGCAGCCCCCACGTCTGTGTTTCTGGAGAAGCCATAGCAACCCATTGAGTGGCACACCGTCTCTCCAAGGCCTGATCCTGAGACCCAGCACTGAGTGGGCAGTTTCCCTCTGTACTGGTCCTGCCTGCCCCCAACTCCAAGACCACGGAGATGCCTGCAGAGGCTTAAGGAGCCAGCAGGGGTCTCTCCCCTCAAAGTGCTCCCCAGAGGAAGGGGAGACAGTCACACCCACCTGTCCTGGAGCCCAGAGGTCACCAGAGACACGATGCACGGCAGGCAAGTCCCCAGCATTCACTGGGCACTTTCACCACCTGGAAAAGCAAGAGGTGGGTCTGGATCTCTGGGTCTGTCACTAAGGCTCAGGTGGACACAGGACTATAACAGTGTGGGCTCTAGACTGTCCTCCCAGAGAGCTGTGTGACCTCAGGAAGAGCCTTAGTTTCCTCGTGGGGTGATGGCATCACCCACCTGCATGGCTATTGGCAGGTGAAGTGAACCAATGCGGGCAAAGTGCCACTCAGGGTCCAGAAGCTGTGCTCAGCAGACGGAACCAACCCCAGCCCTCCAGACCCACAGCACCCTCGGGTGGACCGGCTGGAGATCACTGCCCACCATTCTGCTTCCTTTTCTGCCAATCAGAGGGCAACTCATAGGAACACTTGGGGCTTGCTACAGACTGTCCTAAGAGTACGCACAGTGCCTTCAAGACCTGGGATTCCACTTCCAGCCACAAGGGAATATCAGAGCCTGCACTTACCCACCTGCCTTAGCAATAAACACCAGGCAGAAAAATCTATGAAGCCGTGGCCAACAGGCAGCACAGTAAGTGCAGGTACCCTGGGCAGAAGGGAGACAAATGAGGTCAGCTGCAGGACTGCCCCAGCCACCTCCAGGTCACAGCAGATTCCAGGGGGCTCCTGGAGTTGAGGAGATGAAATTTGCTCAGAGCCTGGAAACCAGGATTTTCAGGACAAAGGAGAGGAGAGGACTGCACAGAGCAAACGCCAAAGAGTTGCCTCTTGAGGATTCAACTGGAGACTGAGCTGCACACGCCTGGGAGGAAACCACCGAGACTGGAACAGAACTGCTGGAAAGAAGCAGCTGGAGTGATGGCTGGTGATCACACAGGACCAGGAGTCATTTACGTTCCCCCAGCAGAGTACAGGCTCTAAGGACCTGCAAGAGGGTCCCCAGAAGGATACCACCTACATGATGGGCAAACACGCCCTGGACCCGAGACCATGAGGTTTTTCTATAAAGGCCAGATAGCAAATGTCTCAGGCTTTGCAAGCCATGTGTCTCTGACAGCTGCTTCAACTCTGAAAATAGACACAGACAACTCATAAACAAATGTATACATCTCCGTTCCATTATTTACAAAATCAGGCGGTAGGCCAGATTTGGTCCATAGTTAGCCAACTCCTACAGTAGACTAAATCTGCTTTGGTCCTACCTAATAAAGCTTAACAGCAAGCCTCAAAGTGTTACACTGTTTCCAAGAACTGCATCCCAGAACAAAGCTCCTTAAAGGAAAAAAAAAAAACACCACAACTCCCACAACATAAAATTTTCAAGTCTAGTATCCAATCAAAAATTACCAGGCATTCAAAGGAACAGGAAAACAATGAGCATCAAGAGGAAGAAAAAACAATCGATCAAAGTGAACCCAGAACGAATACAAATGTTAGAACTGGCAGACAAAGAAGTGTGAACAGTTATAACTTCATCCTATATGCTCAAAAAGTTACTTAGAGACATAGAAGATTTTTTTAAACAAATACCAAATTGAAACTCAAGAGGTGAGTTTCAGCATTAAAGATGAAAAATACAGTGGATGGGACTAATAGAAGATTAGATACTATAGAAGAAAAGATTAGTGAGCCTGAACACCTATCAGTAGAAATTATCCAAAATGACACACAGGAAAAAAAAAAAAAAGACAGAACAACCAAGGCCAGAGTGTCAGTGAACGTGGATCAACTCCAAAGGTCTAGAGTACATGTAACTGGAGTTTCAGCAGGTGCTGAGGCAGAGGGTGGGGGAGGGAGGATAGAAAAACATCTGAAA